TATTTCCTCAAATACCCGATAGCGGATCGAAATGTTTGCGCAACCTATCCTAAACCGGAAAACCGTTTCGTCCTAAATTTACCAAATTTCCTAATACTCGCCACACACCTCGAGAAAGGAAATTCCTATTTAAATTGGGACGTTTCTGTGTTTACTAAAATCAATGTCTCATTGCGGATGAGCTCACGTCGCCACCGTGACATCCTGTGGAACCGCAGAACAGCTAGGTAAATCGGCTTATAGTTAGGTGAGTGGGGTAGTCAAGAGCCAAAGGGTTTATAAATAGAAACACATGTTTGCAGATATAATAATGGGATTGTATATTTCTATTTATGACTATAATAAGCGACCATAAAACTGGTGAAGTCTGGGCGTCAAAGCTGCCAGTCTGGCGCAGCTATTTCGCCAAATGTCTCTCAAATTAGAAAGCTAATTCGAATTGTGATTTAATAAAGAGCCAGTAAGTCGTAAAAACGTGTTGCATGTTGATAATGTCCATATAAATTAAATGTTGTGTCTCGTTCAGTTGATTAGATGATTTGCAACAGCGCAAGGTGAAAATATATTATCTTGTGTTGCATGATTGGGAATTATACCTCTCTGAAAATAATGATTTACTGAACCTAGGTGAAATACTTTACTTCTGAAAAGAGTGCCAAAAAGAAGTAGTACGTACAGTAATATTATTTAATTCATTTACCGTGTGTTAAGTAAACAGATAATGAACTTTTATGTAAAAAACAACTATTACGGGTGAAGAGTAAAAGCAGTTTACACCACCATTGTTTAGTTTGAACACGGGGAGTGACAAAAATAATTATATGTTAAGATCAACCTATTGGAGAAATATATCGCTCCGTATATACTGATTTACTAAATATAGATGAAAGATTTTACTTCCATAGATAGCGCAAAGAAATATGCAGACGAACGTTAATTATGACGCGATAAGGAAAATAACTTCGCAGATGAATACGCACTGTGATGTAAGAATACGAATTATGGTTGCAGACGATAGCAGTAGATTTTATTTCTCAGCGCAAAAGAAATATGGCTCATACCAAGTCTTCCGTTGGTAGCTGTCGATACGAGTTAGTATCCGAATGATTCTAAAGGGTTGATTTGCCAGACGAATCAGATTTGCATGAGTTGTGACATTTCATGATTATTGCCAGCAGTTTAGTTTATTTAAATTATTGATTTGTTTTGATAGATTAACTGGCGTACGGCCCACCTTGCTATATTTAGGATTTACGTTCGCAATGCTAAATTATTTGGAGATTTTTAATTGTTAGAACGTGGCCAAAAGCTTGGTTACTTCCCTTGATCTTTATTTACTTATTAAGAAAAAGATAATGATATAGTATGAAAATATCTACAACCCCTAGATAATATTTTTTCAGGACGTTTTGGACATGTTTGTTTTGAGGGGATATTGGATTACATATTAACGCGTTGTCGAAGCAGACGATTAAATGCAGGCGCTGTGAATTTCGATTTTTGTGGAACAATTTGCTGCAGACTAATTTTTGTTTTGTATATGGTGATAAAACACGTTAAATCTCATTTGAATGTGATGTCACAGACATCGAATCTCCCGCTGTCGTCTGCAACCATAATTCCTATTCTTACGTAAAATATGCTGTTGTCTGCGTATGTATTTTCCTTATCGCGTCACAATGAACGTTCGTCTGCAAGTTCCCGACCCCCAGCAGGAAGCGGATTATCCGTAAGCAGTCTTGTTATCCGCCAGTAATCTGTGATATCACGCTGTTTTTGCGTTTAGAAGGCGTTTATATAGAAGCTTACGAAAGAGGAAAACACCAGTTCATTCGCTTTCGTGGTCAAATCGTGGAATTTTTTGAAGATGATTAATTATCTGTGCGTGCCAATGCACGACATGTTAGGTATATCCAGAATTGAAACATTTATGTTTAGATTCAATTATACGGCTCGATGCTATGGGCAAAAGATTAAGGTTTTGCAGACTTGCGTGAAAGCCTAACAGTTGACAATGTTAAAATGAATGTGAATATATAGAAAGACAGTTTACACCACTTAAATGCAAAAAATAGGTCGTCGATAATAGGCGAAATGTTGTCTTTTATAATTTTTGATTAATTAATTATTTTGAAATATTCGAAATCAAAAGTTACTTGTGATACTCTTGTAAGTGGATGACTACTCGGCAATTAACATACCTATATCTGAATCAGTACTTAGTTACTTTCGAATGAAATCAGATAGTTTCTGAATAAGTTAAGGGAAAGGGGAGGCATTTATTAAAAAGGTTATTGCTTTAGCCACATATATAGATAGTATTGCAGGCCATATGTTTTTAACATTTTTGTGGGTTTCATTCTGACCCGTGACCTCTGGCTTGGAATCAATAATCTGTCAAATCACTTTAGATGGTTCTATTGCCATTATAGATCTCCATAATTTAATTTAGGAGATACAAATCGAAAACGCTCGCAAATACGTCGTACGTTTGCGCATAGGGACAGTGGAACTGTAATTTTTTTGTACCAGTGAAGATAGAGTTACGAGTAATAAACAAGCTTGAAATAATCCTAATCCTTCGAGCCATAGAAATATGACCTGTTGCTGAACTTGTACTCCCTTTAATCGTAACGTTGAATTTACTCATTTGTGAAATCAGGCCGTTCCGAAAATTCTGTTTACCTAAACCTTTTCATAATAGCTAAATTATCACCGTTGTGCACTTTTATTCTGAAAAAATAGTTGCATTTACCTATAGTTTAAATCTATACGTAGAAATTCCTTAAATTTGAATAAGTTGGAGAGTAATACCATGGGGAAATATCCCGCTCCGTATATAAGATTCACTGAATATAGGTGCCATGTCTATAAATAGCGCCAAGGAAAGATAGTTAATTTTATTTCGTCACGACGTGTAAAATTAATAGGTAATAAACATTGGGGTAATATATCTTCTGGCAGTTTTTTAGAGACTTAATAAGTTGCGTACGAGTCCTTTTGTAACTCAAATTTGCAATACATAGCGATATTTGCGAAAATTATAAGCTACGTTTTGCACACAAAGAAGCTATCTGAAATATTGCACCAGCGGCGAAAAATGCTTCACACGTACCGTTATATTTTAAAAACGTTGACAAATAAGTCTCTATTTGTAGATTAGATAGGGACCGATTAAAGTCGATGACAACGGCTAATGCAATGTGGTTTCCTGTCGAACTGATCTGAAAACAAATTAAACAGGAATTTGGGCGTTATTGGAAATAGTATGTCTCCATGCTTAGGTGGTTATTGGACTCAATTTTTATTATTAATAAATGTCGTCCAATGTGAAAAGTAATTAACGCGAAAATGAAAAACGTCCGTTTTTTGAAAAAGTAGAGGGTCACTTCGAACTGCTTTTCAAGTGCAATTGTGCTAAAATATATAATAATAATAAAAATAACGATGTTGAGCGATGAAGCTATTGGCTGTGTGTCTATAGCGGGTACAGATGGGCTATGAAAAATCTCCACTTTTTTAAGAAAACGTTGTTTCCATGATTACGATGAAAAAGAATTTAGCCACGGAAACATACCGTGATGGCATTACTTACTCGACACAGTGGTGTTTCCGTTTGTTTAACAACACAAAACAAATAAATTTTGCGGATTTATATCAAAGCTTAAGTAATTAGTTTGCACAGAATGGTCATTCGCCTGTAAATACCTTTCCCAGTTTCCTACTAGTTTACTGTGCCCGGTCTGGCATGATTCAATAGGGACGGTTTTACCTACGCTCAGTTTGTTTCAGGCCCTCAGTCCACAAATAACAGTTCATAAATTGTAAATAACGTTCCCCTGCGACCATGTTGCGGAGATGTGGTGACAAACAGGAGAATGTTGTTGGTTGTGCTTGCGATTAGAACCTTGTGACTATGAACTATAGGGGGTCATGGACTCATGATAGTATAAAATATTGGATTTTCCGTATTTTTCGCGGGGAGAGGAAAAACTGATACGACGAACTTATGTGACATACCTCGGTGTGACGTAAAAGTTACATTTTATGAAGAATATTTACAGTGTCACAAAAGCAAATGTGGAAAATAGCAAGCCTCGCGCCAAAACTAAATTTAATCGCAAGCTCAACAAATTCCTTGAGCTATTTCTTAGCTAATACATCGAAATTTGGGTTTAGTTTGGTTTGTGCCAGATTGAATCATCTAACTAACGTGTCGGATATGGCCCATGGGCCGTAGTTTGACCATGTCACGTCTAAACGTTCACCAAGCACTGTTACTTGCGGTCGCAGTATTGGTTTTGTAATGTCTGTCACCAGTTCTGTATACGTACTAGATTTGATAAATGGATTGCGGTTTGACTTCTTGACTGTTTGTGGTTCGAAGTGTTTGCGGCTGTGATTAGCGTCATACTGTCAATTTACATATTTCTATCTGAACTTTACTTTTGAGGCAGAGTTGTTTATTTGTCTGGGAAGTGTGATAACGTCAGTGCTAATGTTAGATTGCTTCACTGTGTCTCAAGTATTCAATCTTTTTATGAGGTAAATGAAGAAATGAGAGTGTCGAAAATTTGGGAACTCTTGTCCCTGTGGGACATTTTCTAATGAAAACTATATTTAAAGCGATTCTAATATAATACTCAATGGCAATAGACAGATTCTTAGCTTGTTGCATTCGACATTGTGATCTCATATGTTACATCGCGGATATAGTCACCGCCTTCATATGTGGCACAGTTCTTAACCAATCTTAACGATTGGCTATTTTTCTGCCAGATGTCAGAAGATAATTCATCAGTATTCGTCTTTGGTTTCTCGTTATAATTAGCGAATCGATCTTGTTTTTTTAAGCTTGGCGTTCGGCATGGTTTAGTGAAGTGAGCCTGTTCCTAGTGAGGCGTATACAAAAAAAAACGTTCGTAAAATCTCTACATGTGTTACGTGATTATATTAATGTTCACTCCATCATTCTTTTGTTTCTATTTTACTTATACAGTTTTAGTTAAATCGACGAATTCCTCGTCAAGTTGGATTGTAATAATTTAGCAGACGGCTTGTCAGGAAGATTCTAATAATTAGTTTGTGATCTCACAATTTGACGACAACCATAGCTTTTGTGACGTTATAATTGTCTAAGATATGTTATAACAATGGGTGTGGATATGTTTAAAGTGAGAAAGTTTCGTGTAACAGGTTTGTATCTCGTTATTTTTCAGTTAAAATTACTTTGTACTAGGCACCATAGCTTGCTTGGTGGCTAGACCGTTCTATCAAACTATGCTAGCGTCGCGTATTAAGTATATCGGGTTCCGAGCCAACCAAATCGACCAGGGTGCAACGGGAAAAATTTGGCAGGAAGGTTTCTCTAAAACCATTATCGCTATACCTATCATTAGTTGTTTTTTCAAGCCTTGCTTAGAACGAAGTTGTCTATACACCCCATAAAAACGGCTGCCAAAGTTCGTCTTTTTAATTTTGAAGGTTATTCATAGGTACATTTTTAAAAATTGGGCGCTTTTTTAATAACCTGGATTGAATAGTACGCATTTTTATTCGCCGACTGTTTTCCTTACAAAGCGATTTTTATTCATTTTTCCTATAAGAGTAAGACTTTTTGATGACAACAACACGTTTTATAATTTTCTCCCATAAACAATCCATTCGCATTTCTACTGATTTGAACCAATCTGACTCCGATAATAACTCAATATCACGCTGCCTATCAGATATGATTTAAAGGCAAGGGGAGTGACTAGACTTATGTCTGTATTGACTAATTCGTCAGACATATTTGTTGTCACAGCCATAAATTCCTTTAATCGCCGCCTTTCAGCGCGGGAGACGTAGTTTGTGCGGATGTCGGTGATTATTGAAGAGCTAAAAACTAGGGTCGCGAAGTGAATGTTGGAAAATGTATTAATCCAATTTATTTGTTTTCCGTCCAATACATGTTCTTTTTCGTTTAAAATTTTAGTGATTACTAAAACCCGTTTTGCGTTTCCGTTTTACTGTAATGGAAAGTCACGGTTTTTAGTTAGTTCTTCAAAACATCCCGTCCGCTCAACCGAAACTAAACAATGGCTCTTTGTTCTGTTATATATCTTACCGCAAACTCGTCTAAATTTCAGAAATAATTGTTGGGAAAATTGTCATAAGACGAGGACGAATTCAATTATGGGTTCATAATGATACTCCAACCACCTGTTACAATTTGATCAAATGCTTTCATGCTGTGGTAAAATCGCGCGCTAATAAGCGTTTACAGTATATGATGTTACATTGTCGAGTGTTTTTCAATTCTAATGAAACTTAAAACAAAAGTTGCAATGAAACCGAGCAGCACCTGAAACTCGAACAATTCTAATTATTCCTAAAATCACTTAAATAACGTTGCCGCCTTAGAATTAAACTTTTAAAGGTTATTGTACCGTTTGTGAGTTTACCAATACTCGCACTCTTACCATGAGAGCTCGGAATCTTGCTTCGAGTCAAGTTAGGTGAAGAATTACGCTATGTAAACTGTACCTTGTTATCTACACACTATTTCTCATCAAATTTGGCCTACTAATCGGTATTTAACGCACCAACGCCATAGCCATACTTCTGTTGATGACTTTTGATGATTGTAATAAAATTACAATTTAAACTTCACAATTATCTCCGAGAAATATTATTACGTCACAGACGCCGTTCTTAAGTGCGACGACGACTGTAATTCGATTGTGAAATTTATCTGCGTAATTACGTCAATTCAGAACGATTACGCCTATCTAAATACGCCTACACGGAAAGTACATCCCCTGTAAACTCCGTGGTATTTTGATAAGTGTAATAATCTTATTGCAAAAATCCTTGGATATAAAATAATCGCATCTCCTGTGTTAGTGTTATTCAGTTCTGAATTTTAAATAGTTAGTTTCAAAATAGATTTATACAAATGATTCAAATTGAAACCACCAGCGAAGCCCGCTTCGAGAATAACTATTCGTATTGGACACAAATAGTTGTAAATTTTTGAAGCGTCTTGAACTGTGAATTCCTGAATAATGGATTTCATTGGTATTTCGCCGAAACTAAAAACAAAACCACTTTCAAGACTCAAAATAAACTACCTCACGACAAAGTAATCATTACAAATGATAGGTAAAATTACACAAAACCGCAAAGCCTTTTTTATGAAATTTTATCGCGTGTGTTTGTAATATTTCCGAATTTCATAACCTTTGTGGCACATTCATCGTTGTCTCATTAATTTCAATTTACTTCAGCGAATAATATGAATGAATGGGATATGGCCTTGTTTCATATTTATCCCGGAGACAAGTAAAACAAACTAATCACATAATGGCAAAGTGCGTACACTAAGTTATGGCAAGGACACAAATTAGATTTGCACAGCCGATGGAATTTATCCCAAAATACAACGGAAATTATGATTATCTGGCGTTTAAAACGCATATTTTCAAATAATATCAATTTCAAATTAAAGTCGCAGGCAGATGTTCCGCCTAGTCGACGGCATTCCCAGACTAAACGCTCAATTAATTTGCTGAAACATTCTGGAATTTGAGCGGCAGGTTTTTGTGACAAAATCCATCTGTCGGAAAATCTACTTGAATTCCGGTAAAAACCGGTTGAAACTGGTTATTTACGACCTCTGACACTGATGATTAGTCGTCTGCCGATGTAGTCGAAACATGATAGTTAAAAAATAACCCTGTGACTCATTTTAACATGCTTCTTGTGTAAGACCTGTGTCTTGTCACCTAATTACACAATTTTTGTGCGGTGTCCCATGCTTCACTCAGAAAAAGACCCTAGACAAGTTTATCAAAGGCATATATTTAGATTTAGTCCAGAACGCGTCCCTCACCATGGTGGATTTTTTAATAACAATAACAACTGTCGTCCTTTTGTTACAGTATTCGGAGCAAAGAATCTCAGCAAAAGGGATTTCTGCAGTAAGTATTTTTTTTACTCAAGTTTCACATCAACTGCTTCTTTAGAATAATAAAACCCCCTTTTTTATGCATGTCAGTGTTTCTCTTGAAACTCCTATCATCATCAGTACTGTACTTTTTCCAATACTGCGCTCAAAACTAACTTTTAGTTTCTCGTACTGTCTTTATTCGAGATTCAATATAGAAATTTCAATAATTACTCGCACTAAATAAAGAAGATAGACTTTGACAAACTTGTGCGAAAAATACAAGGCTTAATTTCATAATTATTTTTCTTTCTAGGACTTCCAGATCCATTTGCAAAGATAGAAGTGAAAGGATCAGGACAAAGTTATTCTTCTAATATATGTAAAGCAACACTTGATCCAAAATGGAATGAACATTACGATCTGTAAGTAGATTTTGATTTTTTATGTCGATTCGAATTGACCAGTTTCTGAAGATGAAAAGCGTTTAAAAGGGTTGTTGAGGAATGGGTGTATAAATATGTCATAATACGTAAAACGAGAATATCGGTCAGAGACCGAAGACTTATCGATTGAAAGTTAGGGGATTCCCCAAAACAGCACTCTCACTCTATAGTGACACCGTGTGTTCCATCACTAATTAATTAATAACTCGCTAATTATGCGACATAATTCATCCAAAATCAATAGGCTACTGATCCGAGCTATGATGAATGCATATGCAAAATTTGGAGCAGATTCAACCTCGCTTTCGTGAAATATCGCGTGCATCTAACAGACAAACAAACAAACAGACAAATACCTATCAACATACTTGCCGATCTTAAGATCGATAAGTAATAATCAGAATCTAACTATTTCTAAATTACTTCCACAACGAGTTGGAGCCATGTTCACAACCAGCTGCTGCATTCTGTGGCAATCATGGTTAGTTCATCAATTATTAACAGGGGAGACGCAATGTGGTGTGTTTTTAGTGTTTCCCGTTTCTAATCAGTACCCTTAGCACTGATCCTTCTCATAATCGCACGTTCTGTTTAGATTACCTGGTACCCGCCATATTTTTAGGTCGAACATCGTGTAGTGAATTTGTGTCACAAGTTGACCTTTGAACTTCGGTTTGTGTTTTATTGTACATTAGGTTCTGTTTTTTGTGGGGTCACCCTATTCTATGGAATCAATTCTATAGTGGGTAGTTTTAGTCCTGAGTTAGTGTAATTTTAATGGAACTATTTTGTGCCAAAACCTTCTCAAAGAGACAAATTTTTTTTGCAAAACTTCTGCTCACGTATCAGTAACCACCTTGTGTTGTGTGAAAATATCAAAATTATTGATAAACATCATTTTTCGGTGAAATTGACTTTGAAATGCTCATGACACCTTTTCCATGCTTCCGAAAACAAATAACTAGCTAACTAATCCTTTACTCAACATGGACTGGTAACCGGATGAGAGTTCGTGGTTCGCTTTCCTCTTCTCCGGTATAAATACGTGAAGCCTATAGGCTGCCTCATCGGTTTTCCTCTCCCCTGTGATAAATATCTAAATCTTATCTTAAAAATTTATTTTCTGTTTAGATACGTCAGCAAGTCAGACAGTATTGAAATCTCAATTTGGAATCAGCGAAAAATTCATAAAAAGAAGGGGGGAGGCGGATTCTTAGGATGTATCCGTATCATGTCAAATGCGATTGGTCGGTTGAAAGATACTGGCCCGCAAAGACTCGACTTGTGTAAACGTCAAACGGAGGAAAACAACCAGGAGCCGATAAGGGGTAAGGGTGAGGCATCATTCATTAGAATATAGAAGTGTTGCATGGTTGTATTCTTTGATCTTTTTATGTTAAATACTGGCAAAAACTTGGTATGTGGAATTCTTCTCTCCCCAATGTGAATATGAAAATCCTATCCCATTCTATATGCCAGGAGCTTGTGAAACTCAGAATTATGATAGTATTAAAGGAGACATGTTTATTTAGAAATTTAAAAATTTGTGGTCTCCCATACTTTTACACGTAAATAAAAAGGCAAATCCATGCAACGCCTGTTTTTCAACAACCTTTTTTTGAAGGTTTAAATTTATTTAGATATAGTATTTTGGTTTTCCCATCTACAATTTTAGGACACTGCTTTATATTTTTTTCTTTTTTTGAAGGTCAAATTGTTGTTAGCATCGTCAGTAGAGACCATGAGGATCGGATTCCATCAAATGCAGTTCTTAATGCGAGTATGTTCACCAATAACAATCCATTAGATGGCGCTAATAATCTACCTGATGGCTGGGAGGCTCGACCGACAGCAACAGGGAGGATTCAATATGTGAATCATTATACAAAGTGAGAATTTTAATCGCAAATTATTTGATTCTTCAAAACCTTTTTCTGTTACCATTGGACATATGGTTACGAAAAATTCGAAAAAAGTTTTCTACTTTCCAGCGTGAGGATGATTTAGGTTTGGTATCGAAGTCTATGCATCTGAAACAAAAAAAAACTGGCCAACTAGTTCCACACATAACATGGATTGATAATCAGATGAGACGCCGTGGTTCACGTTATGTTTAAATTCTCTTATCAACTTTCTCATTCCCGGAATAAATTAAAATTAGATATTAAAGTTTGGCTTGTGTTTATTGTGCATTATCTCTCCTATTTTTCTGCCACTTTGCTACTCTCATTTATATGGTGAATGAAAAATGAGAATTTATAACCATAGATTTCCTTGTCATAGTTGAAATATGTGATAAAACTTTCAAGGAATACTTTTCGATCAGACGATTCTCAAATTCCTCTTATTATTTTAGAACAATTCAATTTGAACGGCCGACCCGACCTGCAGTTCCACACGGTCCGATGAGATCGGCAAGTGCAATAGTAACCAACGGGAACCGGTCGTCAGGCTCGAATTTACAACGACGAAGCATGCCGCCATCTAATGGAAATCGATCATCCATGACAGAAACCTCAATAAACTCTCTAAATGGCGACGGAACACCAGACCGTCGTCGGGACTATATGACACGGAATACTTTACACCGGGATGGAGTCATAGCCATGCCCTTACCTGAGGGGTACGAACAAAGGACTACGCAACAGGGCCAAGTGTATTTCTTGCACACCCAGACAGGGGTATCTACATGGCACGACCCACGGATACCCAGACAATTAACGCATATAAATGGGGATGATTTAGGGCAATTACCCCCAGGGTGGGAAATGCGGACTACGTCTACCGGTAGAGTCTATTATGTCGATCACAGCAGTAGAACTACGCAGTTCACAGATCCTAGAATCAGTCAGTACATTGATCAACTACAGAAGAGAGGCAATGGTAAGAATTTTGTTTCATTGTTTCAATTTTTTTAATTCAATGCCATATTATTTTGTGAGACATTTCATGTTGCGCTCGCATCAACACATTACATGTGTAGTGTCTTGCCTCTATGTTCAACGTTCCTTAACTTTCTACGCTTCGCCAAAGCAATACATGATACTACCACGCAAAATAAGAGGCTTTTACTGCTACAATTCAGTTAATAACAAGTGCCAAAAGCCTTTAGAAGGGGCCCACAAGCCATAAAAGGTTTGAAACCATGGACTTGATCAACTAATAAATACATTAGGACCAACACCAGCCATGCAAGGATCGGTAATGTCCTTCTGCTCCTCTTTATTCTTGCGCATTTATATCGCGCAGGACAAAATCGTTCAAGCAATTAATATTCATTGAATCATGAACACTACACCGCTAGTATTACCATTCAAATCTTTTCAGGGAACGCCACAGAGGACATGGAGAACGACCCACAACTGCCAAAGTATAAACGAGATCTCGTGCAAAAAATGAAAGTATTAAGAAGTGAATTATTAACCCAACAACCTCAAACTGGCCACTGCAGAATGGAAGTTTCAAGAACTGAAGTTTTTGAAGATTCATATAGGTGAGAAGAGGGTTAATATTGTCAGTGATTTGAGCTTCTCTCCTTTTGCTTTCCCGCTAAATTTTTTGTGTGGCTCAGCTAGATGTCTGAAGTTGGTTTTTTCGACGAAAAATGATCGAAATATTATAACCTGGACTTCAACCAACTTACCGGTACATCATTTTTTTATGAGTATGATAGAGCACAGCAGCAGATTTTAGATTTGTGTGTATGTTATAAAAAGAATCACATTTACAAACTCTCAGCGAAATTTTCTAAACATAAATAAAATATTTCCCTGACACCTCGTTCACAAGATTTTGAATTTTTTTCATTTTTAGACAAGTAATGAAAATGCGACCAAAGGAGCTTAAAAAACGACTGATGGTAAAGTTCAAAGGTGAAGAGGGTTTGGATTACGGTGGAATCGCGAGGGAATGGCTTTATCTTCTCTCCCATGAGATGTTGAACCCTTATTATGGATTATTTCAGGTAAGAAAGGCAGGATGTGTAGGATGTGCAGTTACTTCCAACCTTTTTTCAAGGAACCCAAATTTTTTTTAAAAATGAATTCAGTAAAATTGGCATGTAGTACTTTTATGGGCATAAACTTAATGACTAATATAAAATAAAACAATCATTTTTTCATAATATGTATTTCCAAGAATTTGTCTTAAAATGAGAAGGCAGCGCTTGTTTGCCATCTTTGAGTTTTTGAAAAGATGGCGTGATACATTCATCCCAATAACAACGAATCACCTACCTCCCTGTTTTTTGAGCAAACGTGTAAAACCCTTCACAAAAATTAATTTATTTTATAGTATTCACGAGAAGACATCTACACTCTTCAAATCAATCCTGATTCTTCTATAAATCCAGAACATTTGTCGTATTTTCATTTTGTCGGACGAATTCTCGGAATGGCAGTTTTTCACGGCCATTACCTCGATGGGGGATTCACGATGCCTTTTTATAAACAATTGCTTGGGAAACCCCTATCCTTGGAGGACATGCAGCAGGTTAGTTTTTTAGAATTTCGAAAATCTGACTTGATTTTTCCCTGCCTTGATATACATCTGCGGTAAGTCCTTAAGTTACAAAAGAATGATCATTCTTCATGACCATAGTGTGGTATTTGTTATATTACAGTCACACTAATAGATGCTTAAAATTTTGTCCATGCACTTCAGATCAGTGTCTTTTTAATGTAGTACAGTTTAACCAAAAACAACATAAAACCTAAAAGAAATAAAAATGTATTCGAAAAGAAACGTGTAACCACGCGTTTTATTCGTGATGTCATAGGACTTCTGATTTTCTGGCGATCACCTTCTTGATTCCTAAAGGTGTATTAAATGAAGTAAAATAAACACTGTTTAAAATAAAGCAAATCTGGTCCAGAACTGAGATATATTGAGAACTGACTGAGTGACTGTATAAAAGAAATTGAAATCGTCGTATTGATTTAATAAACTTCCTCTATTTCTAATTTAATTCTTTTTCCCATTTATCCCAGGTTGACCCAGAATTGTATACTTCAATGCATTGGATATTGACGAACGATATAACCGATGTTCTCGATCACACTTTTTGCGTAGAACAAGACTCGTTTGGGAAGCGAGTCGAGCATGAATTAAAACCTGGGGGTTCGGAAATCGAAGTCTCAGAAGATAATAAGAAAGAATACGTCCGACTTTATGTTAAATGGAGATTTTTGAGAGGAATTGAAGCCCAATATCTGTCACTTTCTAAGGTTTGTGTTTTTCTTATTCTCGAGTTTTTTTCAATCTGAGGATTGAAGGGGAAGTAGAGAGATATGAAATAAGAAATAGTGATAAAGATACTGAAACACGATTATGTTTATGCACTGTCCGTAAAATGATTTAGTAAAGTTAAATTCTAGTTTTTTACCTGAAAGTATTGAATTGGCTTGAACTATTTAACACACTGCGCATCGCACACACAAACTCGGCTTACACACACTTACCGATTAAAATCGATAAGTAATTTCTGATTTCCTAAATGTTGATTCATATGGTGTATTAAGTCAAATTCTCAGCAAAGTTTGGGTTTTGAGGCTTTGAGGCTGATTCTATGTGATTTCAGTAGCTCTATACAATTCAGAGGTTACACATAACTTTCAATTTCTAAACTAGTGTCCCTACCTTTGTTCAGAGATGGGTTTCTTTTACTTCTGAGTAAGTGCATAACTTTGCTTGAAGATAAATCTCTTTCACTTCTAAATGTACGCATGACGTTTCTCAAAAATGAGTCATCTTTACTTTTGAGTGAGCTCATAACTTTGCTGAAGAGATGTGAGCGTGCATAACCTAGCTTTGTAATAGATTATCTTCACATATGAATGAGCACACATGAACATGCTTTGAACGAATTCTTTCGAAAATTTAACGGATATATTTTATAATTAAAGGGTTTCTATGAGATTGTCCCGCAACATCTCCTGCGTCCATTCGACGAACGAGAACTTGAACTGATCATCAGCGGTCTCGGAAAGATTGACATCAAGGATTGGAAAAAATATACAAAATATAAGCATTGTAACCAGGACTCAAATATTGTTAAATGGTTCTGGAGAACGGTGGAATCTTATGATGAAGAGAAACGTGCTAGGTAAGTGTGTATAGATGAGATTTGTGTTTTTGTGTTATCCAAGGAAAGCGGATGAGACGACTTAACAGTAATCATATGGTGACTCTTGTCTGGCTATTGGTCCATGTTGGGTATGGCGATAGTTACTGTATATAGCGTAAATGACAACCAATCACAGACTGTTATCGCTGTCATAGCGCACCGAGTGCTGCTTCGAGATGAGATGCCCTTCTCATGAGAACTTAGCGTGTATAAGCTGACCCTTTTTAAGTTTTAAACTCGGCTCAGATGCGAGGATATACGGTAACCAGTTATTTGTTGCATATACATGAGCTTGGAGTCAAATTTTGCCGTTTTTGTTCAATCCAGGGACACAATTTTTTATTAAATTTGTCTAAAATTTTGTTGGCTTTGGGGCAGCCAATATTTGTCATTTCCTCATGATAGGGAAATTCATATGAAATTTATTCTTCATGGTATATATTTGATCAGTGCTAACTTGTTGTTCCAATAGATGATACTTTTGTATGGGAACACTTTTTATGAAATTTGACCTTCAAGTCCATATCTATATTTTCCAACACTTCTAAATGCTACGACTAACCCATTTTCCAGGCTGCTCCAATTTGTCACTGGTTCTGCTCGAGTTCCTCTGCAGGGATTCAAAGGGTTACAAGGATCAACAGGAACCCAAGGTCCGAGGTTGTTCACAATCCAATTCGTCGACTGTAAAACTGACTGCCTTCCTAAAGCTCATACATGGTAAGATTGGTTTAAAATTTTCTTTTAATTATTTTATAAATGGTTTACAGACTTTCATGCAATGTTTACAGACTTTCAATCAAAACAAGGCTTGAAACAAGCACAGTGGCATATCTGAGTAAAATTGCAGCCATGGCAAAGTTTGAAAATTTGCCCCCATGGTCGTTGACTGACAATTTTTAACGACTGCTATTGAAATTAGATACTTATTTGAGTAAAAAATGAATCCCAATTTGAAATTATATTATTGGAACATTTTACGAATAAACTTTTCTCCTTTTTGCGCATTCATTCAAACTGTGCTCATGGCACAAGCCATGGTTGCCACGCCCTAGATACGCCTCTGGCCAAGTAGCCACCGATACCCATAGAGTCGTGAATCAATTTTGAGTAGCTCCTTTTTAGTCTCAATAATCATTTATTATTTTACGGTTTTGATTAAATCATTTATTATATTACAGTTCCAACTATATTAATCATAATCTCAAAATTTAGAACTTTTTGATTGGGTCTCACATGTAGTATTTAACACTTCCATTCATTGAATGAATGAATCAAGAGGATTTTAAAATCATTTACGGTAATAATCTTCAATCAGCTAAATCATTTATTATTTTACAGTTTCAACCGCATTGACATCCCGAATTACGAAAACTATGACAAACTTCGAGACAAAATCACATGCGCGATTGAAAACACTTGCGGATTCTTCACAGAATAAAAAAGCAATGAAGCAAAACGTCTTCAAGTGGCGGAATCAGCTGCAACTATCGCACCAATCTCAATATTTAAACTGTGTGAATAAGCTGAAAATACTCGCCGTTAGAGTAATATGGATCTAGATGAGGAGGGAGCGTCGAACTAAAAAACTATAAAAAAAGCTGCTAGGCTTTGTGTTCCTCCCTAACTAAACGATAATTATATAAGGAGATAGATATAGACCAGAACACATACCAATCTAAAAAAGCAGTAGATGCTTGCGTACCAGTCTTGTTTGCAGGGCAACATGGTCTCTTGAGCTGATATTTTCAAAAACTTCGATATTTACAATCTGCTGCTCGAATGTATTAACGTTTTAAGATTCCACACTGGTTCAGAAGTAAATGGGGTTGTCTTGAAACTTTCCTATCAATCTCCCACTTTTAGTTGAGGGATCAAAGCCTTGTTTCGAGCAAACTCTCAACTCTTTTATCAGTATAGTACTTGAAAGCAAAACCTATCACAGGCCTTAAAGCCTTTCTGCACGACTGCTCTTATTTATTTAATACATAATTCTGATTTCGCCGAAAATTTGTCTTATTTTTCATATTTTTTTTTGTTATTTTTGAGTCTAAAAGTGGGTTATCGTTGATACTTTTAGATGATTTCTGATATGAAGTTAGTATTTGTCACTTCTGAGTGCTTTTCACCTGTTGAGACAATATTTATGGTTTTGTTAATTGAATAAAATCTCATGCACAGATGTCCTATGAATGTCAGCTTGTGTAAGGCATATTTTGGAGTGAAAACTAAATTAAACGCTGAACTTTTTTCTCTTAACAGTTCTCTGCAAAAGAAGCTGTTTGAAGCGACCAGTAATTTATCCCCAAGCCTGACCCCCCCCCCCTCCCCCCCCTCCACTCGCAATTTAAACTGAATAGATAATTTATTCTAATGCGTAGATGTCTGCTTTTTACAGTAATAGCAGCTCTGATTTATGACTAGCTGCTTGTCTGGGCCTACTTCATAGCCTACCATGTGAATACCTTAATAAATACAATTCAATTTTGTAACCCAGGCATTGATTGTATTTGTATAAACCTATTTTATTTATTTTTTGTTTTTAATTTTCTTTGTTTTATTATATTTCATTTTCATAGTACTTTTGTGACATCAGCTTGTAATATTGTATTTGTGTTGGTGCGTCTAATTAAATGCAGCTCGATTATTTTACCTCTTTGGGATTTGGATGTTGCGTTAGAAAACTGCTCGTGAGATATTTATAATTAAAACTCGGTTATCGGTCGATTAATCAAACTTGTCAAGCCACAACGCCTTTTTAGAATTTGTTTACAATTCACCCCACCTCAAAAATAACTACCGTAGCTCACGAAAAACTACAAATAACAGATAGTAAAGCGAAAGTATGTTTTATTTATAAAGCACGTTAAAAATACGCGAATGGAATCGAAATCTCTAATAAACAATAAAGAAATGTAAATATCCGAAATAAGGCGGGAATATCAAATATAACAAGTTTTTTTATTTCTAATTAGCTTCACGTCCCTTCAAAAAACTATTTCTGCCCCGCTTGTCTCATACTCATACTCGTATTTCAGACTATACGGTGAATGAAATTCGTGATTTTGGTCCAAAGGTTAAGGGTCACCAAAACCATACTCACTGACTGACAATAACAGTCATTCATTAACTAAAACTATTCCTAAAATCCTGAATTTTTCTAATAATATATTAGAACCCTGAGTGCCCAATAACCACCTTTGGTTCAATGTGTCCTTCTTAAGTGAAACAAGAGTGCAGATTTTTCTTGTAATTTGTGTATGATTTTTTTACTGGTTGGAAAAAATAAACTTAATGTAACTAAAATTTCATTGCTAACTCTGTAAAACTTAGAAAGTTGAAAATTCCTCCTCATCACTCACTTTCTGTAAGAAATATCACAAATTAGGAGATAAAATACTGGGGCATGTGATGTTTTTACTTAACGGAACAATTTGAAATATTTTTCAATTAAATTCAGTATTCTGTAACATCAAATTATTCTGCCAAGGGTATGTTTTGCGTAATAAGTCTTGACGGAATAATTTGTAATATTCAGATGTGTTGTGACAAACTGTAACATCAAATTATTCTGCCAAGGTTATGTATTGCTTAACGAGTCTCGACAGAATAGTTTGTAATGTTTGAATGTAACATCAGATTATTCCGCAAAAAATGTCCAGCCTACCGGATCGCCATTTGCTCTTTTGGCCATTTATACCAAATAATGCTTCTGTATGAATTACGCTTGCTTGCTGGCCACTTCAACCTATTTATTCGCAAAAAATATTTATAAAAAAAATTCAGCATATTAATAAATGAAATATTTCAATTTTGAAGAATTTTTATCTTTTGTTTTATGTTTATTTGTCAGTTTAATTTCCTGGTTCGAAGGTCATTAATTTTTTCTCCGGATCTTAGTAAGATGATTTAATTAAAGTTTGTCATATTTCTCAACCAGTTTTGCTTAAAAATTATTTTTAAATGTGCAGGGTGTTCATGAAGTCAAGACATTTGTCGATACCATATATATATAGATTGTTGGCCCCTACTTGTGTGTGGAATGTAGTAAAAAATGGAATAAACACTGATTCGAATTAAAAACACTTGGTTGGGATATTGAGAGCTGACTCTATAACAAAATTGGGACCTCCTGAAGTATGCGCACCAAGATGGCACACAACCTGAGGTTAAGGTTCAGGTTATGCGACATCTTGGTGCACATACTTCAGGAGCACCCAAAATTTAAATTGTAACTGGACTGAACACCCGGTATAATAACAAGTCTCTTTGGCAGCTAAAAATAAAACACTTGATGTCGCTGACTTAATTTTCACCCAGTAACGACCTTGATTTGTCCTTGGGAATTTAGTTGCACCATTTTAGTATTTTTCTGAATAGTGGAAAGATTAAATTTGTTTTTGTAGAAAGTAATGCACATAGAATGGTTTTTCTGATGAAATTTCTCTGTAACTTTTCAATCAATTTTATCTTTCACTTCACAGTTTTTCAGTTCTGGGTGAATTCTTGTGTGGTTACTCTGAGAAAGTATTAAAATAATATCATCAAATAGTTTATTCAAATTTAAATTTAATTGACTGATATGATTCAGAAATTTGTCATTTTTATACTAACGTTATCGAAATATTGTTTTGTTGAATCCAACTGGCTTTCCCCAGTACTTACTTCACCAAGGGTGTAATATTCATGGAAAGTACAGAGCTGTGAAGTCTGAAATGATTTATCAAGGACTATTAACTTGTGAATAATTTTGATAATAATAACTTCGACAAATGCAAACCCCCTGTAGGTCATTCTGAAGGCTTAGTGAACTTATTTTCGCCATCAAAGTCTAGAATTCTGACACCAGGGAGTTCATGATTCGACTCAGAGGAGTGACTCTCGTAAAACATGCCATAGTTCCAATTCCTGAGCCCTGGGTGGGTTATGAAATACACGAAATGATTCTGGTCTGCTCAAGTCACTCAATGTAACATTGTTAGTATTTACAAAGGGGATTCTTTAATACTTCTGTCGTCTTTGTTTCAAATGCACCTGACTCAATTTCTCATTGACTGCTGGCACCATTTTATTCTGCTATTTCATTATCCTATCTCTCAGTGTTATGTTGTGTATATGCTACTGTGTAGCATTTTGTACATAGAAAATTGTCTTTTTTGTTCCACATTCTGTTTTTGTGGTTTGTTTTTGAAATATGAAGAATTATGATGAAGTTTGTGTTTTATTGTTGCAGTAAGGTATCAGGGTGGAATTTTGGAGCGCCAACGAGCAGTTTAAAGTTGAGTGGGGCTTCGTTTGTTACCCTTAGTCTGCACGCAAGCAATGTCAAGTTAAACTTACTTGAGGCCGCTGGCGATGTTCACTTGCCATAGCGTTGCATTGAATATCGGCTCAGAACATATGAAACGATTATGAACATCGCCAGATTGGTGCTGTAATGATTATTATACTGTCTTCTTCTGTTATTGTTGTGCGCGCGTTCTTGATTACGTGATCTGTAGTTGTGTGAATTTGTTTACAATAATACATTGGGAGTCTCGGCTTCTGTTGGAGTAACGTGTATTTTCTGTCCTCGTTTGTACAGCACTAGACAGGAGAGTTTAGTTAATTAATGGCGCATGGTCATTGTATATGTTAAGTGTTTTTAGAATGGCATGCGTTCACACTTTTTTGCTGTATGCTGTGTATCGGCTTGATTTACTGCATCACATGCATTTGAAAACAATTACCTGGCTAACTTATTCCATGCTCAACGTGGACTGGCAACGGGATGAGAGACTGTGGTTCGCCATATGATTAAGCCGTCTTATTAACTTTCCCTCCCCCAATGAGAATGTAAATATCGTCACAGGTTGTTCAAGAAAAAATGATTTGAATGCGTCAGAGCAGCTAGAAGGGTGCCCAACACCAGGCGCATAACTGATATTACTTTTCTCTTTTACTAGAAAACTCCCGTTCTTCCCAGTTTCATTGTTTGGCAAGGTTATTTCACAGGGTGTTTTCACCTTTTGAGCATGAATTGTTTGAACATAATTGGATTCGGAGACTACCAATCAAAATAACACTGTGAATACAACTGGAATGATAAATAGAGGGGTCATGAACGCTGAAAGCCTCTGGAAAGGGACCAAGAGTTGGGAACCACTGTTTTTAAACAAAGTTATAAACCAAGAAAGGTTGACATTTGATATTAATTATTATTCAATTTAATGACAAAAGTGGGCTTGCGTTCTGTGTGTTGTAGTAGTTTTTAAATGGCGTCGCCTGGGGTTTCCAGATTAAATGTAGCTTATCCGCTGGCAGCACTAGTGAGCCATGACAGATCAAAGTGACTATAAAAGCGTTTTAGCCACTTTGTGACAGATCAGCGACGAGGAAATGAAATCAGGATGAGCTCAATGAAATATACTAAAGGGCGTATAGGTATGAAGAGTATAAGTTCATTTTGACTCCATCCAAACATCCAAATTCAACATTTATTTAGAATGCCATCAATAAACAATATATGAATGTTTTAAAAAATAATAAAGTAAATATGTATTGAACATATTTGCAGGTTTTTACCTCAATTATTTTGAGTCATTCACAACGTAGTATACCGGTATTGCGTCGTGTTTTCACGCCAATTTCTCTGTCTTATCTCATCTTCTGCGTTGGCTGTGTCTGGTCTGTCGAGTGCTTGAGTGCTTGGGGTCGGGCGGGTCAGGGTTTAAAAAAAGCGTTTGGGCTGTTACCGGTACTGAATTACCTAAACTGGAAATTAGATGGGCTACAATACTTGTATTGCATATGAAAGTACGGTACCATAATTGTGCATATGGAATTTGTGTATGGGTACCGTAATATTTAATGAATAATTATTTTAGATGAGTTGATAAATGATGATTGATTGATTGATTGATTGACGAATGACCGAGTGTCAGTATCAGAATAGGCTATAACGTTACAAACACCCTCAACTTATACTGTCAATTTTATGAGTAAGTTATTTGCCTGGCAGGCTATTTTATCATTGGAACCCTATTTAATCATGCTTTCTGGTTTCAAGTTTTTCGCATTTGAATTATAATCCTGTAATCAGATCAGAGAAAACTAATTTTATATTTTTTGGTGAGCGATTGCCAATGGACCTTTCCCCGACCTTTGACCCTCGGAAAATTCTCCCTATACTTTACCATTGCAAAATTGTCAGAGCTATTTTAAGAGTGCTTTTGTGAGTTGGCGCCTGTAAAATGGGGTATGTGTTCCAAACCATCATTACTGCATTATGATTCATCGCATACAACAATCTGTTTTTTAAAAGTACCGGTAAAGAATTTCAGGCTAGTCTATCACAGCTATTTCTACACTAACTTTTATCACTGCAATTAAATTAAAACTCCTAAAAAGACAGAGTGATCATTGAATTATCTGATTTTTATTCAAGTTACCAAAACACAACTGAAAACTAACGAATAGAGTTCAAAAATGCGAAAACGAGGTAATGTTTACAATCACGCTTGAAAATCTGTCTGAGTGAGAAAAGTGTCTGAGCGGATGCAAAAAGGAGGCATTGTTACGTCACTTTTTGCATCTTGCTGATTGGCCAATGTCACGAAGTAAACAAGGAAGTCGATGCTCGGGGAAAGGTCCATTGGGTACCGGTATCAGTTCTCTTGGCGCAGACTGGATTCCATGGCAGATGCACGCCCGAGGGCGCTAGCGCTTCGTAAAAATGCACGCGAGCGAATTCAATTTTGCACGCCGAAAATTTGCAATTGCTCACCAATGTAAATCGGTTTAAATGGTTTTAAAATCAATAATCCAGTAATATAAAGATGCCAAAATATTATAACTCCATAATTGTCGACAATTACTAACTTGCAAGATTTGGTCTAATCGAAAAATTGCGAAGCAAAAAAGACCATATCGTGTTGAATGATAGGAATCCCGTGAGAATAGTTATGGACGAAAAGATCGCCTCCGCACCAACGCTGGCCAAGTACGACTTTGATTCAGCGTATTTTTCATACAATAATTTTACACGAATGTACTGAACAGTACCAGTATCTAAAGTCGCACAAACACTCTCAAAATTAGTGATGCAGTATAAAAATAATGTTTGGGGTCAAAGGTCAAACACTCGTTTTGCTCTAATTTGACGTATTTTTTATTCATTAATTCTACGTAAAAACACTCCCAAAATTAACGACAAAGTATGTCCATTTTGCTCTGGGTCAATGTATTTTTTATCCAATAATTTTACGCGGATGTACTGAACAGTACCGGTATCCAAAGTCGCACAAACACTCTCAAAATAAGCGACAAACTGTAGAAATAATGTTTGGGATCAAAGGTCAAATGTCCATTTTTGTTCTGATTCAACGTATTTTTTATCTGATACCCGTAATTTTACGCGGATGTATTGAAAGGTATCTAATGTCAAAGTCAGTTGCACGCGGGCGCAGTTGTTTTGCACGCCGTGAGCTATAATTGCACGCCAGGAATTCTTATTTGCACGTGGGAATTTCTGATTACACGCCTGATTTCTTGTTAAAAAAGGCCATGAAATCCCGACTGGCCCCCTTGCAACACATGTACACTTTGAATTTGACTTAGGGTTTTGTTTGCTATCCCGATTCTGTGATCGTTTTTTTTAGTTCAGTATTTTGTTTGCTATCAATTATACTATCATCTTGTTATGCGAATGCGATTTATATATTCTGATATTCGAGGTAAAAGTGTTGCTTGGTACTTCTTTGCCTCAAAATTTAACAGCATCTGTTAAATTAACAAACAGTATAACAGAGACAGAATACGTGTTCTAGACTTTACTAGCCTAAGAAACAGTTGTGAGACAGTACAGTACCGCAAATATAGCAGCAATTTAAGACTTATGAACATAAGAAACTTTTAAATTCAAGTGTTTTTAAGCGTTCAAGTCGTTGCAATGGACGTCCACTTTCCTCGCCTGGTGTTCAATATAGAAATCTCATCCTTACCAAGTTTCCCCGCTTTCATTTGTTGTTTTTACTTTGTCAGTTTGTTGTAATACATTCATGGTATTTATTCAAGTTAGCTTTATGTACAGATGTAAGTTCAGAGTTTCTGGGTCCATATGATTGCCAATTAGAATATTAACTAGGGGCACAGAGTCTGTAAGTCATGGTCATGTAGGATAGTTCTATGAAATGCTGGATAGCCCACGCTTAGTAAATGCACAAGTTACCATGTTATTAACTTCTCTTAGATAGAAATTATTATTTAAGAATGTTATAATTTATATTAGAAATTCTACAAAGCTGCTATTCAAAACAATCATGACATAGTTTTTTGACTCCTTGCACCTCCAAATGCCTATTATCACCATGAAGTCACTGTCGTCCAATCCTCCGAACACTCGGAGTCTCGACAAGCTCCTAGAAGAGGCGGAGTTCTCCGGAGGAGTTCGTTTGATGCATCGAAGGCTGAAAGACATAGGTCAATTAGTGATGAAATATGATTTAGCGAATGTCACGAACGTAGATTTATCTCACAATCGGCTGTCCGAGGTTCCATTGGATATATTTGAATGGCAGTGTGTTGATGCTCTAACAATAACGAACAATTCAATAAAAACTATTTCTGAGGATATTCAGGAATTAAGACTTCTTGAAACACTTGATTTAAGTAATAATTGTTTGACTGTGCTTCCGCCACAACTATGCGAAATAAGAGGTTTAACAATAATACGATTGAGTTGCAATAAGTTAATTTCTCTACCGGAAGAAATCGGAAGTTTGAAAAAATGCCAAGAACTTGACGTCAGTTCTAATGAGCTAACTTCGATACCTTCTGAGATAGCAAAAATGGAGAATTTACTATGTTTGAATATACGTAAAAACAGTATTTTTGCGCTACCGGAAGAAATATCTACAATGAAAATAACACACTTAGATGCCGGTTGTAATTTAATAACATCGATTCCAATGTCGTTTCGGAATATGGTAACACTGCAAAAATTTGTGTTGGATCATAACCCTCTTACGTCACCTCCAATCCCAGTTTTAATGAAAGGCAGAGTTCATATGCTGCGGGAACTGGAAATTCAAGCAGAAAAAGCGCAGATTAAGAAAGATGTGATGGATGATCCTCTCATGAGTCCGATGAAACGTCCATCGATTCCTCGCGCTGACGTTAACTTGCTGGAAATGAAAGCGAGGGTGATGTCCATCACTGAAGAAGACAATGGAAGAGAAGAGAGGTTTGTTGAAAAAGCTGCAGAATTGTCTAAAGATCGCAGAAAAGCGAGCGTTACAAATGCAACCAGTCCTGAGAAGAAGCGTCCAAGTCCGAAAAAACGTGTCGACAAACCAGGGCCGAGAAAACAAAAATCTGCTGAAAATATTCCAGTATCACCTCCCTCACAAGATACAAAACCGAATCATACTCTACCGAAAAACGTTATTACAAAAGAAAGGAAACGTAGTGCGAGTAGCGGTAATTTTGAAAGAAAGAGTTCAACTGAAGCGTTATTAATTCATCAAAAATTATCCGGCTTTCCAGGATACAAACCGAACATTATTAACGAAAAAACAGATATGCCTTCTGCGAACGGTAAAACTCCTGCGACGCAACAAAAATTACAAGAATTCGTAAAAAATCGACAAGCGTTGAGCCCAACAGACCGTAACAATCAAGTAGCCAATAACAAAACAGTGAATTCAAAAAAAGGATTTTTGCCGTCCTCGATAAAACCCAGGACAGCATTAAACAGGATGAGAGGAAATTCATTCAATACAGGAGCAGAAAAAGATGTTTCATTTACGATGCGTCGGAAAACAGAAAAACTTTACGAAGAGCTCGAAATGATCGAAACTTTGCGACAAAATATTGAAGCTAGACTCAAAATCAGCCTTGGGGATGATCTTCCATCATCTTTATCCGACGGCGTCGTTTTATGTCATCTAACCAATCATGCACGACCAAGATCAATAACCAGCATACATGTTCCGTCTCCCGCCGTCCCAAAACTCACTCTAGCGAAAAGAAGAAGAAATATAGACAATTTTCTAGACGCTTGCGCTAAAGTTGGCGTTCCGAAGATCCACATTTGTTCCGCGCAAGATATTCTTTTGGAAAAAAATATTGGAAAAGTTGGCACGACAGTAAATGAACTTTTGAAACTATGCCCACATCCTGCCCCCTCCCCAAAAAGACAGGTGGAGACACCCAGTGTTAAAGTGACGCCCTCTACATTGACCAAACAGCATAGCCAGGTTTGATTTTTGTTATTTTATTTTCGGATCATGTACTTTTATTTATGTTTATAGCCTTAATTCATTATTAACGAGGAGGGGAAATACCCTATTTATTTTATTTATAATCGCAAATTTAGAAAAAAAGAGCAAAACTTTGTTCTTCATAACACTTAGCTCACCAAACTTAGAAAAATGTTCATATCACAACGTCTTTGAAATTTAATGTTTCCAGTAAAGTAGTGGTAACCTAAAGTGAGAAATAGCAGCATAAACACCTTTACATTAGGGTGAGATTATTCTGACTAGTCACACCTCTATGATTTTACTAGGCCTTTTCTTACTAGGAATTTGGCCTCGCCTAACCTGAAAATTGAGATAGAAAGATATAGCAGCACAAACAACTCTTCAGTAGGGTAAGATTATTCTGACTAGTCATGCCTCAATGATTTTATTAGGGATTATGCTATCCGGAATTGAACGTAAGCCAGAAGAGAACCAAACCCAAGTTATCTTCTTTAAATACAGGGAATATGTGATCTTTCTGCGACTTTAACATCAAGGCTTATAAATATGGTAGATTTATCAAAATAACTAGGCTTGCAGCAAAACAATCTGGTTGACATTGCGAGTTAGTAATTTTGGGTTGGAGCCCCATGTGTGACACCTTACCCAGGTGGAAACTGTCGAATGGTAAGATTCTGTTCCATCTAAATGATAGTGGCTTCTCTCTTAGCAATGTATTGTTCAGATCCTAATCCGGAGTGAAAGATGTATAAAACGTTGTATAAGAAAAAATTGAAATAATTCGATTGGTATAATTCAAAAAATTCCTTTTTTGAACGACCGTAGACGAAGTACAGGGTGTTGAAATTCATTAATTCTATCACCAATTTATTTGGGGTTCATTTATTTTTGGACACCTTGTATGACATTTATGCAAGGGCATGGAATATTTTAGGTTGATACCAGAAATGGAAAGTAAAATTTATAATATTATGGTTATTTTTGCCTTGCTCCAGCTCTAAAACCAGCTTTGGTCATCCCTTTTCCCCAAAACTGTAAATTTAGATCTCTCATTCCTTATCAAATAGAATTTTTCAAAATTTGAACATTTGCCTTTTTGTCTCGACACTCCTGAGAATTGAATGTGAAAATAAAATATGAGGTGTGATTCTGAAATATCTTGCATATGGACTTCCTTATTCCAATTATTTACTTTACATATTGAATGACATTCACAATTTCAGCATAACTCTAATTCAATATTATTATAAGTTCAGTTGAGATAAACAAGGATTTGAATCGGTTCTCTATTTTATACAGTTTTCAAAATTAAATGAGAGCTTTCAGTCATATTGTAAGACACAAATGATCCACAAAATGACAATTTTCCTAATGGGATTTCCAATTCATTATATTCGATATAGTAAATTTTCGAATTCAGGAATAATTCAGAACGATTTTATTTAAAAATTAAGGATTTAGACTCGTTAGACAAGTAGATCAAAACAATCAATATTTCAATTGCTAACAAATGACGCAGGAAAACAATATTATATAAAGGATGGCTTTTTAGTCAAACTGTAAACTTGATAATGCTCAGTTTTGCAAATGTAACTATTTTAAATTTTGCCTAAAATTTCAAATATCCAATATAACAAATCCCCCAGGACTGACATGATCGATTCAATTTTAAAATCTTTAGTAAATCAAAATCCTAGGACAACCCTGCTGGAATTCAATTTAATTTTATCTGTTAGAAGCGTGAGATGGCGTAGGAAGGACAGGAAGTAACTGTGGCTTGTTACAATTACGTCATAATAAATTCAGAGCTCGAAATGACATTTTTATTACCACTTCCTGTATTAGTAGGGTAATGAGTTCATATGTTCTATATTATTAGTATAACTAGGATATTACTTTTGTTTCGTGCATTCACTTTGAGTAAAGCCCTAGCCATCATTAATGCTACAGTCTGCCCCAAAAAACTTCTCTAATTACTTTATGAAAATAAAGAAAATTTATTTAACGCTTGAACTTCTGTTCATGTATTCTGATTGCACCCAAAAGTTTAAGTAATCTATGACGCTTTGTACGAAATTTATGTCCTCTCTCTCGAATACGTTCCAAAGGACCTGGGTTTTGTGTTTTTGGATACCTTGTTTATAATTTTGATAATCGGACAGGGTGCTCATTGAGTCCTAGAATTTTTTTGGGGCTCCTGAAGTATGCGAACCAAGATGGCGGACATCGGAATGTAATATGTGTACTAGGTTAGGGTTAGGCCATAATTTTAGGTATAAATAATACGGGAGGCTCTTAGCTAGTCTTCGAACTGATAATAGGACTAAAATAAGGAAAACTGGAAAAAAATTATCGCCTAACCCTAACCTGTTACCCATGTTATGTTCCGATGTCCGCCATCTTGGTTCGCATACTTTGGGAGCACCATTTTTTTAATTGTGTGGTGAATTTATTGATACATACACAGTTTATTAGCCCCTATGTTCTTGATTACTGTAACTTAACATCAAAATTGAACATGATCGAAGATGAATAGGTAAGGGTTTGCTAATAACTACTGCGTACCTACTAACTTTTGTGCAGAGTGTCCTAAATTACTTATCATATACAAACAGAGGTTCAAGTGTTGAATAAATTTTCTTCATTTTCATAGAAGTAACAAAGAATCTATGAGTTTTATTCTTACTGAGTTCCTAATGCACGTAGCCTAGGTCAAGATGTATATTTAATACCATCATATCTGGTTACGTCATTTCACCTTACGAAATTACGTTTATTGAAGAAAATATCTCTCAGTAGCGATGCAAATATTTTGTGCCTCCAGGCAGTGGCTGTTACAGCTGAGCCAAGTCTGAGAAAAATATAAGTTAACTCATATTTTGGGTTTTCCTAACCATTTTTATTAATGTTCCATTGATGATGGTCAAAACCGAATAACGTACTATTAAGAATACATTATGAAATTATATTTTTGAATATGGAATATCGTATGTATTCTGAATTTCGTTATGTCCAACATAAAACACATTAAAGGCAATATATAGATTGTCCATGAAGTCCTAAATCTTTTTAATAATATTGCAGAGGGAATTTATTGATACCATAAATTGTTTTGGTCCACACTGATGTATTAAATGAAGTAAAAATGCTTGAAAAATTACTGATTTAAAAACAACAAACCTGGTTTAAGATGTATTGAAAACTGACTTCATACCAAAATTGAACTTGTAATGGGAGTTTATGGACACCCTGTAGGTGAATGAATATGAATTTGGAAAAGCAAGAAAGTTAAGATAAAAATTATTTGATTCGTCAGTGTATTTTTACAGTTTTCGGAAATTAAATGAAACTCATCATACTTTGCAATTAATGATTTTGTTCTTAAATAGGCCGATTTACTAGATTTGAACTAAACAATAATGGCAAGTTGACAAGATAAGATTCTAAAACACCAAACTATTCTTTTCCATTTGTTTATAAAAACATGCATATGGATAGTCAATGATTCATAACTTAGCAGAATTTCCTTATTTTTATCCTCTGTGCTTAGTTGATTCTGCATCATGCAGAAGTATTCATATGAAAAGTCCATGATGCATGACTTGACCGAATTTTTATTCTCTGGTATAAGTTCGTGGAATCTGCCTAATATTGTACTCCATTGATTGCAGGAATGGTCAATGAGGCATGACTTGTCAGAATTTTTATTTCCTGTTTTAATTTGATTTATTCTGCCCAAAATCATACTCCATTGATTACAGAGGTATTAAAAATAGTCAGTCAATGAGGCATGACTTGTCAGAATTTTCATTCCCTGTTTCAATTTGTTTCATTCTGCCCCAAATGTCATATAATAATCAGTCAATGAGGCATGACTTGTCAGAATTTTCACCCTCTGTGCTTAAGCTAGTTGATTCAGTCCAACAAACACTCCATTGATTACAGAAGTAGGCCAGACCTTAATGTTTACATATGACATAGGAACAAGCTACCGTTAGCGTAGGCCTTTTCATCATTGTTTGTATTGGGAGGACGTTTATGTTTAAATTACGATTTCAGACATTCTAGCTAAGAAAATAATCTAGTCCTAATAGCGTGTTTTCTCTGGCATATTCGATAATACAGGGTATTCATGAATGTTTTGATGTATTTTTTTGACTTGCAAGATAATTTATTGATACCATATATATTTTATTGGCATTTACATGTGTGAAAAATGACCTAGAAAAACTCGAAGCGTACCTAACAGGTCGGACGGGTAAGATCTCGATTTTTAACTGTCAGGAGATTCCAGAACTATAATGGAAATAAAACATATGATCTCTATATTAATACCAGTTTGTTTTGTTCAGAGAAAACACTACTTGTCAATTGAAGCTTAATTGTTTTACATTCCCATTTGACCATCTTAATAGGTGTAATAAATAGGGTTGCATATTCCCACGAGTGCCATCTTTTCTATACAGGGTGGCCCAAAAGTAGGTATACAGTGATTAAACTATTTTATATGCTTTGAGCTACTTGCAGTTCACTTTATGTTACTTGTTAAGTATCACAAAAATTGCTTATTTTTTTAGATAATAAATCTAGTGTGAATTTTGCATTAGTTTTCTAGCTGCTTGGAAGGTAATGAAAAATAAATAACTGTATACCTACTTTTGTGCCACCCTGTATATTCCACTGATTCATCTCTTTTGCTCTGAACAAGACCCCATGAGAGCAGCTACCAATATCTCACGAAATGCGGGGGCTGCTTTTATTTGGAATAATTTTTCTGGTTAAGCATTGCCTACTCAATTGATGAGTGGGAGTGGTGACTTCTCTTCGGCCCATGGGCCGGGGCCACGGCCCATCAGGCTATGGGCCGCGGCCCATCAAGTTGTGTAAAGAAACTATTCACTTGGCTAACACAGACAGTCCCCATACTCATAATAGAACTATAATGTAAAAAATCTGAACAACCCTAACCTAACCCTAACCTGGTACACATACTACAGGAGTTTATTTTTTGGTTCGAATATTGACAATTTTGTAAAAATTGAAAGTTTTGGTAAGATAATTGAATTTTTCCTGACGGGGCCGCGGCCCATAGCTTGATGGGCCACGGCCCATGTGGCCCAATTAGATGGGCCGTGGCCCCGGCCCATGGGTCGTAGAGGAGTCACCACCCCTGTAGCAATTGATTACCTCCTGGGTAAGGTAGTTGGCATGAGATTTGATAGTTAAATCTTACACAATTCTATTTTTTGTACAAAATCATTTTGTATCGTCAGTTATTAAAGGGTATTATTATTTTGTTTATATCTTCCTAAGTAATTGTGCCTTAGTTCCATTTTTTTATTCAATTTGTTACGTCCTCTGATATTATTATTATGTGTCTGATACTGTGTGTTAACTGTTAACCGAATGTCTCTAATCGCATTGACTTGGGCTGTTTATTAAAGTCGCGACAATTGGCATTTACTAAAGCCGAATCCAACACTCTAACCACCAGTGCAGTGGTTCCCAACCTTTCATGGGTCGTGGCCCCGCTCTGGAGGCTTTTAGCACTCAAGGCCCCTGTTTATCCTTCCAGTGGTATTTATAGTGTCATTTTGATTGGTAGATTCCAAATCCCATTATGTTCAAACAATTCATGCTCAATAAAGTGAAAACACCCTGTGAAATAACCTTATCAAGCAATGAAACTAGGAAGAAAGGGGAGTTTTCTATTGTGCCTAACATTGCGGCCCCGTCCAAATGCTCTGTGGCCCTCTTGGTGGGACAGGTTCCCCCTGGTTGGGAGCCACTATCATAATATAATGAGGCAACTATCTATCCATTTTTGGGCTCCAAACACTATGGCTTTGAGGTCATTGTCATATTTCATCACCAAGTATTAAGATTTGATCGTTAGTCCGTTGTCGTTCTACCTGTCAAGACTTATTTTTCCACACATAATCAAGTTCTTTTTGTTTTTCAATTATTTTTATATTTCCTAATTTTTGACAGAACTTTTTTCTTTCTTTTGTGTTAAATCTGCTATTGAAAATTTTTCTCTATTCTGGCGAGTTACGCTTCGTTGATTCCCCGAATTCAACGGTCTTAGCATATAATCCTATCTTAGTCATTTAAGCATAATCATTCATTTAGAATATATTTCTGTGCCTTATTTTGCTATTTATTTCACAATCAATCACCAAGTGTAATTCATCATAATATGTACTATTTTATATCATAGTTGCCAGATTTTCTACTATTTTCGAAACTCTGTTGCGTCCTGGATTAGCTTATTTAGAAATTTCAGATTCCTAGCGCTGATGCTAGGATATGTCCCAGCATAATCAACCTCGGAATTCAGCCTGAAAGAAATTTTATTGTCGACTCAAACTCAATTTTGCAAAAATAGCTCTACAACAGGGGCCACCATCTGGTCCGTTTGGGGGTCAGAACCCCCCCCCCCCCCCCCCAATTTTGAAATATAAGAATAAAGCTATTTTCTGCATTTGGACCCCTATCTGTTACCCCTGTTCTCAACAGTCCTGAGATATTCAAAATTGAAACACGATTCCAATTTCTGCCATTCATGGTTCATGGCCATTCATACTGTTGCCGATCCTCTGCTGTCTGATATTAGCAGCTATGTTGATTACTTCTTTTTTTCGTCCGTTGTTAACTTATTTTTAGGCGAAAATTTTGGAAATTTCTACAGGAAATATTATTTAAGGCCAATTCATTTATGTGTAATTATCAATTTTATGGGTGGTATGCCCAAATGATTCAGATTAAATAAGTCGAATGGTAAAAAAGACAATTGAAAATTAGAAACTCTGCAATTCTCACTATAAAACTAATCATATTTTTACTGGACCCAACTATTCCTCTTTGCATATTACTTGTTATCTACTGCCTTCAAGTTCTTACAACAGTTTATTTTAAAAACTTGAATTTTCTGAATTCGCTATGTTTTCTGAGTAACAAAAATAAGGTAACCAGATGAGAAACCGTAGTTCACAATGATCTGTCTTATGGGCTTACTTCTCCCCCCCAATTTAATATGAAAATCCTTTTCTTAATTGTATTCATTGTCATCCAATTTGTCAACATAGCCTTCTTAATGAAATATACTTTTGTTTTTCATTTTTTATTTACTTGGATATTATGTATTTTTTGTTCTTTTGTTTTGCTGTGAAAACGCTAAGAAATAAATATGGATGAAATGTTATCTCAAATGTTGTATGATAAACTGGGATTCGGGCAGGATTCAGTCAGTGATCCCGGACGTCCAGTTTGATGTGAGAGTTTTCAACAAGCCACTCGCCTTTGAAATACATGCAATTTGCAAACAAACTTATATGAGCAATATATACTCAAAAAAGTAATTAAAAATTGGCTATTATAGCCGTTTGTTTTTCGATTTGATTGCGACTTCAGGAGGGCTTTGAGTACACCTTTTAATATTGAAATGGGTTCTAGGGGCAGGTCCACCATTTCATTATCCATGTATTAATAGTTGCGCTAGATATGATATTTATCTCGGGAAAAAAGAAATCCATGAAACCTCAAGACCTAGCCGGAATTTTATAAATTTTAATATAAGCTCTCCATTTAAAATAAGACTTTCGTGTTATTTATAAGCAAATGGATACCTGCTTCATATTTTGTGCATTTGAAAATCTCGTAATCCCTTACTTTGTAAATTTTTGATAAATGAAAATAAAGGACATGCCCCAAAATTAAACCCTTGTGTTATTTTTCGAAAGAAAATTGAATTACTACCATGACTTATTTTTCCACGATATTTTAGAAAAAGGGCGGAGCGTTGCCGTCCAACAATTTCAATGAGGGAAAAATAAGAAAATACAATGGAAATGGGCATCAAAAAAATAAATAATCGTAGTTTTGGGCAAATGACTGTTTGTTAACACGATTTTATATTTAATTCGCTCCAAAGTCAGCATAACGAGTGTTAAAATTGAAGCTTTCCATAATTATCTCATTGGAGAAGAAATCCGATGAGACGGTTTGATCGTATGGTGGTATGTTAGTCGTTGGGCGGACCACGGCCACTCGTATGAATACCAGTCCATGTTGAATATGGGCATCGTTGACTTAATATTTATTTTGCTTTCAGATCAGATAAGTTTATTACGACTCCACAATCAGCATAAAAGGCGATTAAATGAATGATAAAAACAAATAAGTAAAAACTGATTATGAAATCAGAAGAGCAAACAAAACCTTGGATAGAATCAGATGCATGTAAAGTTTGTAAACGATGGTAAAGGAAGCGGTTGAGTTAACCACCTTTCAATGACCTTCAACGGTCTTGCATACTATACTTTTATAGAATTTTCCGATATTGCTTTCAATATCCATCATTGTTTGTGGAAATAAAATATATCTCTCTCTGGGCGTGAGGAGCCCAGCAATCCTTCGCGCTTACTTATAGTGATAAAAACTGATCAGTAACTAATATTATAAATATTTTTAATCTCTAGAAAATATAATAATCTTTACATTATCAAATATGCCACAGAAACAGTGTGACATTGAAATGACAAGATGCTAACCGGACTTGGTTCCGGTTTTCGTACTTTGAAAACATACCTCACTGCATCACTGGGGCGCGAAGATGAATTTTTTAAGTGAAAACTGACGAAAACCGGCCAAATTTCTGGCATTTTTACGAGATGATAGAAACAATTTTCATTGCTTCATACTGGATTATTATACAACAAGTATAAAGAACTAAACTGCAAAATCATACATAATGGGCTGCATACCGAAGACAAATTAAAATATTGGTTTAGGGTAGAATCGGGCATACCGTAGGCCTATGTGTATTATGCGATAAACCAGTAATGTCAGAATGTGGAGGAAACTTGTTTTCATCTCTTTTTCGATTGTGATTGGACCCAGAATTTTTGGGACTGGTGCAATATAGGACATTTTACTCCAGACCGAATCATAGCCAACATCATAGAAAACAAGTCTGTGTTGTTGACTGTGATTTGTGGCAAATCAGCAATCTGGCAATGCAGAAACTCTGTCAAATATGATGCTATTTATAAAATGCAATGCAGTTTTTAAATGTAAGGTATTGGAGTGCTTGAGTTGAATGGACAGTCAATGCAGAAATGATATTATGCAATATCAACACATTGATGAGGTTTTAAATAAATTCATCATGCTATAATATCACGTTTCCAACACAGTGACATTTTACTGTATTTACTAATTTGACTAAAATTTCTAGTTTTTCAAGAAGATTGCACAGATTGAAAATGTAGAATTCACCTAACGACATGATACAGTGAAACATGTTTTTCTGATTATTTATTTAATTCTTTAAAAAATTTTGTTTTTATAAAAATGCAAATGGTAATTAAATTGATTATTTATATTGTATATTATATTATAACTGATAATGATGGAAAAAAATGAATGAAATAAAATGTATATTTTTCAATGGATCACTTGGAACTATATGCACAAATGTGGACACAAATGGAATTAAATGGTAAATGTATCTGATCTGGCTTATTTAATATTTATCATTATTTGTCTAATCTTTGCATTGTATATTTGTTCATTGTATGACATTACCTAAATTACAAATAAAAATAAATGTGGGCCTCATGCAACAAAATTTAGACATCTAGACTATTTGAATAAACCAAAACTATCATTTTCATAAATCAAATTTGGCAATGGATTTAAATTTGTCAAAAAAAGGAATTAATATACAACGAAGCATGACAGGTATGCTAGCGTTTATATTTACTATTTTAGAACGCATATTTCCAATATTTTCCTGTTATCAGTTACCAAATAACTCTCTAGCTAACTGCATAACTGTCAGAAGTCGAGTGGGAGTGGTGACTCCTCTGCGGCCCATGGGCCGGGGCCACGGCCCATTGAATTGGGCCTCGGCCCATCAGGCTATGGGCCGCGGCCAGGGTTGTCCAAAACGAATCGAATATTCGAATATATTCGAATATCATAGTATTCGAATACCTTTTCGGCTGATTTTCGAATAATTCCGAATAGTAGCCACTTTTCGCCTTAAACGCGGTGTTTCGTTTTACGGGAATCTTCAAACGACTTTTTACGCTGTCTCACGTATTGTAATGACGATGGAATAGAATCGGCACTCTGATTGTTTATATTCTGTGCGATCGTACGTCGGATAGTGTTGCGACACATTTGCACGTTTGCGTGGGTGGACATTGCCGACATTCGTCTACGAGGCTTTTAATTTACATTCATTTCCATCACGTCGAAAAATTGACAATTACCGCTTTTCTGGGCCCAATTTTTCGGCCTGATTTTTTTTTGGGGGGCGTCTAATTGAGAAAGTATGTTTATTTCATTTCTATGTGGCCTGCTTATTAGTCTTCTCAAGCATGATTTGTGTAACCTTATATTTGGGTCTTAGGGTCTGCCAATCATGATATTTAATCGCAGGCCGGTTACCGTTACTTTACAGAGAAACATGGCCACCGAGTGAAAGTGATTTGTGAGCCTTTCGTTTTGCCGATTCAGCAGAACACGACAGGGACAGGAAAACACAGCTGTGAAATAACCCGTGTGGACGTACAGTGTAGTATTTATCACATTCCAAAATTATTTTAACATTCCGGTTAATAGGTTGTCCAAAATGATTGCCGCTTTACAACTTAAATTTACCGCTCAATTGTTAATAATAGTTAATTCTGTGAGTATGATTCTACCAAACTAACATGATCTGGTTCTAAACATATAAAATTATTAGCGCATATCACAGGGACACAATTTTTCTACCAGTCTTATTGGAGGCCTATATGGAAAAAACTCTTTTTTGAGTGCTAAAAATAGACATCGTCCTATTTGCCATGTGAACTTATTAGCCGGGAAATACCATATTTATAGCCGTTATTGTTACGATATCCAATAAATTGGCACAAGTTGGAAAAACAAGTTAATTTATTAGAAAATAATTTCTGGCAAATAATTTTGATAACGATAGTTAAAAGTATCGATCCTTTACCAGGATGTTTTTTTGTTGCGCAAAATAATCCAATCCATGACTGGTACCAGCATTTAAAATGTCATGTCGTATTAATTTAATTCCGTTCAACGTAACTCATGGTTGTATGGACATAAATTGTGTGGCAAACTCGCGATTAATATTAATTTTTGATTCCTATTTTTGTATTTACAAAATACAACGGCGATCTGCGGACTTAGAATGTGTGGTAAACTACCCGATTATAAATAGTTTTTGCTTCCTATTTTCATATTTATAAAATAATAAAAGTATTATTACTCAAACATACAACGGCGATCTGCGGACTCAAAATGTGTGGTAAAGTTTCCGAATATAAAAAATTTTTGATTCGTATGAAAAATTGTCACAAGTCGGAAAAATAACTCATACTTTATCCCGCTTTTTGGCAAATAATTTGGATAATGGTTAATATTTAAAAGTATGGGCGTTTCACTAGGATGATTTTGTGTTGCGCGAATATTCAAATCCATCACCGATACCACTATTGCCGTATAATTTAATTCTGTTAACAAGACTCAAGGTATATAAAATATATAGCTACTGCAATAATCTGCAAATATGAAATGCCTGGTAATATAACTAGGTTGTAACTTGTAGATAGCAGTTATTCCATTGCTTATTGTATGGAAATTCCTACATACATTTAGATAAGCTTCAATTAGTGAATTTCATTTTCGAAGTATTCGAAATTTCATATTCGAAAAAAATAATTTCGAATGTATTCGAAATAGTGAACTATTCGGTATTGGCCATCCCTGGCCGCGGCCCATCAGGTTGTGTAAAGAAACTATTCACTTGGCTAACACAGACAGTCCCCGAACTCATAATAGAACTATAATGTAAAAAATCTGATTTTTTTTTGTCCTAACCCTAACCTGGTACACATACTACAGGAGTATATTTTTTTTGGTTCGAATATTGACAATTTGGTAAAAATTGAAAATTTTGTTAAGATAATTGAATTTTTCCTGATGGGGCCACGGCCCATGTGGCCCAATTAGATGGGCCGTGGCCCCGGCCCATGGGCCGTAGAGGAGTCTCCACTCCTGTAGCAGAAGTCAGCAACTGCATACCTATTTTTTTGTGTGTGCCCAGGTCTACAGGTATTTTTTTCCTTGGTAGTTTACTTTGCTCTTGTGTGTTTTGGAGTTTTTTCAAGTTGTGATGATACTCGTACTCCATATTGTTCTGTTTGCACTCCAAAAAGTTAGAAAGACCATAATCTTACCGGTTTTGCATTGTTTTTATCAAATTTAGGTCTAGTTAAGTTTAGTACGGTTAAGTTCTTCTAGTGGCAGACTGGTAGTGGGCGCAGCATAGCGATTTTTGAGTATGTTATTTCTAACTCGTGGTGGGATTCAGCCGGCTCGCACCGGTTCTATAGAACCGTCTCACGAAATTTTATGAGATCAGCGAACCGGTTAGCATTACTGGTTACTGTCAATGGATTTTTGCATCTTCTCTGACACAAATTTTTGAGATCAAGTAGCTCAGGTATTTGTATGTGAAATGATCAATTTCGCACGTACCAGTTACACATTGTGTTAATTTTTATAATTGTAGTGTTTTCAGTAGATCATACACCTTTAGGTTTTTAGGTTCATTATCAACGAGTATATAATATTTACAGCAATATAGACAATCCTCAACATCATCGAAAATTTCAGACACTAATTTTGACATGATGATGCTTACTTAACTATTATTTTGAAAAGTTAATTAGGAAGTAATTAAAAATAACTGTTTATTTGCTCAAAAATATGATTTTTGTGATGGAACCGGCTGTCAAAGAATTTGAATCCCACCACTGTTTCTAACCCCCACCTAACTGTGCTATCCAAAAATTATGTCACTACGACATCACAATCACATATCTTAGCTTGGCAAAGTACTGAAATAAAGCTATGATTGCCTAAAATGGCATCTGTGCCAAGATAGAAACGAGAATATTGGTCAGAGACCGAAGGCTTATCGATCGAAAGTTAGGGGATCCCCCAAAACAGCGCTCTTACTCCAGGGACACCTTGTGTGCACATGCAAAATCTGGAGCAGATCTCGCTTTCGTGAGATATCGCGTGCATCTAACAGACAAGCAGACAAATACCTATCAACATACTTACCGATCAAAATCGATACGTAACAAAGCATTAGAAACAAAATTGTCATCACGCCTTTGATTACCATGCGTAGGTTCGAATTCTGCTGAAGATAATTTTTGTGAGAAGACTCTTTGCTTTTGTAGAGCGGTTCACACATCTGTTAGTCGGACATGACTTTCATCACCATCCAATTTCATAGATATTAAACAATCAATTGGTTTATCACTCGCATATGCGCGTCATATTAAAATCATCATATTAAGCTTTCTTCTCTCCTGGATATAAATATAGGAATCCTATATATTTAACTGAACACAAATTTTCTAATTCCAAATCCTTTCTTGCATCTCATATGTTGTCTCTCTATAAACGCCAGTCTGAATTCTACTGAAAATTCCATTTTCAAAATTTTACATGACAACAAAACATTTTAGAAAAATTTATAAAAAGAAAAATTCAAACTTATACAGTGATAAATTATACAATTCATATAAAAATATGTAAAAAAGATCAGTGAAGCGTTACTGGTCGGAAATCCTGTCATGTAATTTGGATACTGCTAATGCTGCTATTTTATGGGGATCTAAAGGTTTCAAAATAGATTAAGGCAGCATGTATAAAAAAGGCTGGGATTGACTAATCTAGTATCACATCAAGCAACATGCTTTAATTAATATAAAAGTAACAGGTGTATGCTATTACTGTGTATTGAATGTTTTAGTCCTCATATTATTACTTATCGATTTTATTCGGTAAGTATGTTGATAGGTATTTGTCTGTATGTTTGTCTGTTAGATGCACGCGATATCTCACGAAAGCGAGATTGAATCTGCTCCATTTTGCATGTGCATTCATCTTATCTCGGACCAGTAGCCTATTGATTTTGGGCGAATTATGTCTTATAATTAGCGAGTTATCAATCAATTATTGATATACTAATTAGGGCCCGACCGATATATCGGCCTTGTTTTTCACAAATTTTGAACTATCGGTATCGGCTAATTTTACCGATAGTTATCGGCTAATCACGTGACTGCCAAAGTGTCAAAATTGCGCCGGGAAAGCAGTTTTATCGCTTGTTTAATTCGAGAGCGGTTCTGCGTGAAACTCTTTTTCTTCACTATTTCTATTTCTCTCTTATCAAAAGCGGTTTCACGGACGATTGCGACACGGGATTTCACACTTTGCAAGCAAGTTTGCAGCGTGGTGGCTTACAAATCGAAGCAATAGAACACGTGAACGGCTTATTTGTGTCAAATAATATACGCTAGATAGAGAATTTTCGCGTAGTTTACACGGCGCTTGATTTCCCTTGCGCTTTAGTCGTTGAAGGTATTATTTAACTTCTTGTATTGGTATGTTATAGATGGCTGGTTCTAGCGGTAAGAGCAAAGTATGGGAATACTTTGTATGCCACAGTGATGTTGTACTTTGTAAAATATGCTCATCATTGTTAAGTCAAGGTTCCGCCGATTCCAAAAAGAAAAACACCAGTAATTTGTGGAGTCATCTCAGATCGAAACACAAGAGCAAGTATGATGAGATTTCGCAGACGCAGTTAACGCGAAAAAGGCCAGCTGAAGCTTCCCAGTTTAATCGGCAACCTTCATGGGAACACATAATGGATAAATTTAATAAATGGCATGGAAATGACGCAAGAACGAAATCACTTGATAAAATAATAATGGAGATGATAGCCACTGACAACAGGCCATTTGCAATAGTGCAAGATGATGGATTCCGCAGGCTAATAGAAATATTGAACCTCGCTACGCCCTAAAGACTGAGAAGTATTTCAGAACAGAAATGCTGCCACAAATATATGTGAAGAAACATCGGTATCGTTATCGGCTTATCGGCCTAGTTTTGGAAAACTAGCAGTATCGGTATCGGTTCAAAAAGGCAGTATCGGTCGGGCCCTAATACTAATCTAGATTTTTGTGAAGCGAGAGAATTTTGAGACCCGCCGAGTGTGTGTGTGCGATGCGCAGTGCGCAAGTTACAAGAGCGGATGAATCGAAACTGCAGTTTCAGTTTTGGGGGGTCCCCTAACTATCGATCGATAAGTCTTCGGTTTCCAACCGATATTCTCGTTGCTGTATTGTGATTATCAGTTCTATAAAGGGTAGGGTGGCTTACATTCATTTAATTCTGGTTGCACCAAATGGTGAAATGTTCTCAAAACAAAGTCATGAGCTATCACTTATTGAGAAAATAGTGTTTTAAAATGAGGAATTCTAAGTAACATTTTACGGACAGATTTAATCGCACTTTAAATCTTTTTCTCTCAAAAAATGATCGTACCTTATAAGTAGGTGCGCCTAATGGTAGTGCTTTATGCTTTATTTTCTACACTCAATACAGTACCGGTTGCGTCTTTTTGCTCGATGAGCCTCATGGTCCGTATAATACGGTAACCAGCTATGAGGGATTGGCCATTGTTGTTAGCGCAGAATACTGGGGCATAGGACTTGAAATCAAGACTGTGAGGAAAATAGATTGAAGGAGAATTCCAAAAAAATGGAAGTTTTTAGAAAAAATTTATGACATGGAAATTTTGTTAAAAAGCAAATTGCGGAATCAACTCAAGGCTGTTATGTTTTGCTATACTTGGTAGCGATTCAGTTTCATAGTTGGTATGTAATGGCGCTCTAAGCGGCACATTTGTTTTCTGGTATTAAGGCAAATGTGTGTCTTTAAAACGAGCACGTTTGATATTATGAAGTCACAGTGAATTGTAGATTAGTTTATGACATCACCGTTCATCATTATTATGTCATGATGATGGTATTGTTTTGTGTATTCTTCTCTCATAATGGATCTGGTCATCCAATGCTCTCATCTCCTGTCGCATTTTGTTGTTCATTCTTCTGAGCGAGGCTGTGAAATTAAAAATATTGTTTTTATTGAAAATATTGCTAATTAGTATTCTTTGAGGAGTTTTGCATGTTTAATCTGAACAAGGCTCTACCAGGGTTGGGCAAGTTCTTGGCACCGGGGGCCAAAAGTTTTGCATATTTAGACTGGCGGGCCATGTAGGTATCAAGAAAAAGTTGGATTTTATGGACAATATTTACAGTTTTACAAAAGCAAAAGTGGAAAACAAACTCAATTTGATCGCAATCCCAACAAATTCCTAGATCTATTTTTTGCTAAATCAGCAAATTTTGGCTTTAGTTTAGTTGTGACAGCATCAGGCGAGCCAGATTGAATTACCCAGCGGGCCGGATTTGGCCCGCGGGCCGTAGTTCCCCCCTGTGTGCTCTATATAACATTCACTGATATAGAAATGGTCAAATATTTTTGAGAGGCTTCCAAGTAATGGAAATGTGGTTTATATTTATCTATTCAATTATAAAATCTACTAAATCTGTGACTCAAAATTGGCCCTCGAGTTTGACACAACTCTGGACTTGAACTATACCAGAGGTGTGCAACATGGGGGCCCACGGGCCATGGCCCACCACGCCTTTTAGTGTGGCCCTTTTCAGCACTCAGATTTTTCCCGTCAGGCATAAAATCCTAACTCCTTCCAAAGCTGATGTTAACAAACTATGCAAGAACTTTGAATTTCAATTGCCCAGCAAAATGTCAATTAAATATAATAAAATTTTGCGGTATGAGAATTCAAGCTAAATTTTTTGTATGGCCAAGTTAGATGTCGGAAATTATATGGCCCGCTGACAAAAAAAGGTTGCTCACCCCGGATCTATAGTTTTAGAAACACTTAATTGGTAGTCGCCCTCAATTTCACTCAGAGATCAATCTCATATAATTCTGAGTGCATACATGTGGTCTTTGCTTCGAGCAAATTCGATTAAAAAACATCGACTTAGTCCCCATGCTATTTGATTTCATTTGGACATAGCTGGCGTAGCCAGGGTTTTTTTTTTGCGGGTCGAACCCCCCCCCCCCCTTTTGAAATGTAAAAAAAAATAAAATCAGTTTTCTGTGTCATAGATAGCAATTTTCCGTAGCTTAAAATGCTTTTTAGACCTCCAAAACTACTAAAAACACACGTATTCCAGCGCTCGATCGGAGCCGCGAGCTGTTTCAATCTAACTTAGCAAAAAAAAATTCAGAGCCCCCCCCCCCCCCTTGAAAATTTCTGGCTAGGCCCCTGGCTGTTCATAATGATTATGCAATCATTTCACCTTTCCTCTCCCCTGAGATAAATATGCAAATTTTCTTTTTTATGTTCTTACTTGCACTGAGTTCTTTCGTACTTGATCTAGGACTGAGGTCTCTTGTTCTGTAGGCATCTTGAGGAAGGGCCCCGCCTGTCCCCTGTGGGTGACTCGCTCTTAGTGGTTCACGTCTTGGGTGAATGTCATGTCGGTGTAAGGGGTGTTGCCCCACTGGGGAGATGTTTTTGGGGAGTTCCCTCCCAGGTGGGGATTCCCTAACTTGTCCATGTAATGCGTCTTGTTGTTGTCGGGGCTGGGTTAGGTCTCGGAGTGGAAAGTCACTCATGACATCATTACGTTGCTTAGATACTTTCTTTGTGACATCATTGTTTCCATGGAGATTGTTAATCCGATACCAAGCCTTTTTATCCTGCATCTGTCTTGCATAAGAACGACCTTTTTCCCTAGATTGCAGAAAATTAAAGAGAGTAAAATCATGAGTGAGTGACCATATTTTTGCTCAGAGATTAGTCTACTTTTGAGTGAGTAATTCTACTCTGTTTCTAAGTTTTCAGGGGTTGACCATAACTTATTCAGAGATGAGTATCTATTTATCTCAGCGTGAGTGCGCGTGGTCTTCATTCTAGCAGATTTTTCGAATGACAATCAATCGTAGGTTATCAAAACCATGGTTGTTTTCAGGAATTAGAAAATAGTTTGTCATTTCCCGTTTGAAGAAAGATTACTGGTACTTACCATTTAGATTGGTTGGTTTCTTGTGCTTGTATTCCAGGGTGTCTCCCATAACCGTTGGGTTGTCTTCTAGGCTGGGGAGGGGATCTTTTTAGTGGGGGTAACTCTTTTTCTCTCTCCTCCCACCCAGGTGCTGCCTGAAAGGGGTGTTGGGACACTTGAGGGCCATAATTGGGGGGATTCTTTGGGTTTCCATGGTGACGAGGATTGTTTATAGCATAATTGGGGTAATTTGTTCCACTGGGCCCAAAAACTGGGTGACTGTGTCCCAAGGTTTGGGAGATAGGGGTCAGTGAAGAGTCAAATGAATAGAGGGATAGGTGAGAGTATCCGGAGTTGGTACGACTGTGTCCGTTTGTAACCATCGGACTAGATAGGAAGAGCCTGTGATAATAAGTGAAATTAATGTTGAACCAAAAACAAGCTTTATTCTGAACAAATCTTTGTCAGGGAAAGCAGCCATTGTCATTGAAACATAAATTGCTAGTATTTTTTGAAAGACCAAAATTTTTCCAGTTAGCATTGCCTTCATAAGTTATTCCAAACTGGGTGAAAGAAATGAATGCATACAGTCAAAGAATTACACAAATCACTGTTAATTTGTTACTCTCATAGTGAGTACCAATGTAGTATGTGTACCAGGTGAGGGTAAGGCCATAATTTTATTCCAATTTTCCTTATTTTAGTTCTATTACGAATTCGGGGACTGTCTTTGTTAGCCAAGTGTACACCCCCTGCCCAAAGGTTTCAATCCCTTAACACTACTTGACCTCCATATTGGTACACACACTTCTGGAGCGACGTTAATTTGCCAAAATTAATGTAGTCTTCACAAAAGGTACAGAGTGAAGGCATCTTCATGTAATCCAGGAGAACCACTCCATGACCCACTAGAAGGGCCAAGGGCCCAGATTGAAAAGCCCTGCACTAGTCAATCACACCCACAGTGATTTAAAGGGAAAAATATCATGAGAAATTATCGTACTCACCTCTGCAAATGCTCGAACTTCTCACTCAATCTGTCATTTTCTCTCGACAGAATCCGGAAATCTTTTTCATCGTTAGAATGTTGGGTCATTAAACTTTGGTTTTCGTTCCGTAATGCTTCATTTTCTACCATGTATTCCTGTGTTGGAAGGAAAGAAGATTTGTATTTTTTGATGAACAGGGGCGCAGCCAGGGTTTTCATAAGAGGGGGGTTCAAAATCGAAAATACCCATGCAATCGCCCCGATTACACCACTCGTTAAATGAAACTTGTATGTACTCCCGTTTTAAAGTAACGGGTGGTGCTCCCGTGGTATTCGTACCAAGCTGGCACACAACCTGAACATAGTATGTGTACCAAGTTGGTTGTGTGCCATCTTGGTACGACGAATACTACGGGAGCGTCGAGGGAGTTCACATACCAGCTGGTCGGTTACGACCATGGTTCGCGTCTTATCAGCTTTGCTCTACCCAAAGATAAAAATTAAATTCCTATCTTATCCTAGAAAGTTATCCTATTGAAACATAAACTATAACGTTAAACTAACAAACTATAATCTTTTTCACAGGCCTTCTTTCTAATAATGGGAAATCGAGCCGAAACCTGAATATGCAATTAAAGAGTCCTGCTGCGAAAATAAGACAAACATATTTCTGTAACGATTCGTCTGACCAAAATCAAGACTTCAGACAAGCAGTTTACAACAATGACAAGAAAAGAACCTGAATGTAAGGAGGGTTCTGAATTCAACTGAACGTAAAGTATTTAAAGGTATCCTTGATTTTTGAGCTAATTTATTTCAAAAAATGTAAATCTTTCGTTGGCATGTATATTATAAAGTTCCATGAAAAATATATATATTGGCCTGTGGTCGCACTGGACACTTGAAAGTTGTCTTTGGGGTTCTCCTGAAAAAAGCTTGGGAACCCCTGCTCTAAATGCTACTTATCTAACTCGGGTGTGGCGCACCTCCTATTACTGTTTGCAGGTTCAACTCCCATGCGGGGTTAATTATATGCGAGAGGATTGCTGAATCTTTCGTCTGTGTAGGGTGGTTCACGTAACCGCTGACCGGTTATGGCTTCCTCCACCATCAAGTTCATGCATCTGAATACGAATAACTAGCTCACTAATCCCATACCCGACATGGACTGATGACTGTATGAGAGGCCGTGGTTCCCCATAGGATTGAGCTGTCTTATCGCCATTCCTCTCCGTAAGAGAAACATGTAAAATTCTATCCTGACCTGTAACATTCCATATAAACTGTTCTCCGTTGTTGGACGATCCATTGGTTTTTCGTTCATTCTTTGTTGCTGTTGTATTTGTGGCAGAAATTGTTGGAGTTGTTGGCCTGTTTAGATGAAAAAATTAGTTATTTGAATCTGCTCCAAATTTTGCATCTGCATTCATCATATCTCGGACCAGAATCCTATTGATTTTGGTTAATTTATGTCGTATAATTAGCGAGTTATTAATTAATTAATCGATTTTTTTTTTTCTTAATTATTTTTATAATTAGCGAGTTATTATTTAATTAATTATTTTTTTTTTTCGGAAGATCAATAAGTCGGCGGCCTTCAGTCGCTATCTCGTTTTGTTATTCTTCCCTCTGCTTATTTAGGAACTCTTTATCCCTCCCTCATTATGGCTAAAAACAACTTTATTTATTCTTTCTTTGATGATTCTTCTCTAGTGTTATTCACAAATTGCACCCCCGCTTTTGTAATTGGTATAGTTTATAATGTGTGCATAAAGTATTATAGCAATAATAAAGAACTAAAGAATATTAGTGATACCCCACAGCAAATACGAAGCAAAATTCCACCCTGACATGGGGTATTCCCGTAGTATGTGAACCAAGACGACACGACACCGGAACGTAGTATGTGTACCAGGTTAGGGTTAGGCCATACTTTCAGGTACAAATACTACAGGAGTCACTTGGCTAATCCCGAACTCATAATAGAACTAAAATAAGGAAAATTGGAATAAAATTATGGCCTAACCCTAATCTGGTACACATACTACGTACAGGTGTCCGCCATTTTGGTTCACATACTACGGGAGCGCCGGCTAGGAATCTAACTTCTGATAAGAATCGCTACTTCTCGTCTGTTACAGCTCCTCTACTATCTAACATGGACTGATAACCGGACGAGAGGCCGTGGTTTGCCATATGATTGACTGTCTTATCGGTTTTCGTCTCCCCCAAGATGATAGATAAGAAAATTCCAATCCTACTGACCTTCTGCTTGTTCCATTGTTCCAGGTCTCGGGTATTTTGGTTTATCTCTGTGTGGGAATTGTAGTTGACGCCTCAGAAACACGTTTTCTTCTTTGATCAAGTTCATGTCGCGTTGAAGTTTGAGAATTAAGGCTTCTCTTGGGTCCATGCGTACCACTGGTCTGTTTGAAAGAAGTTAAGTTTGATTGCTTAAAGGAGCTTTGGTTGTAAAGCAGCGGTCGGCAACCTTTTGTCACTCGCGGGCCAAAATTAAGGTTGCAAGTCATTGGTGGGCCGAACATATTTTTAGAAAGTTGAAAAATCCAACTGATGGTACTTTTTATAATAAAAATCAAGCAGTGATACATCTCTCGAATAGAATATATATTTATTTCCTCATTGCATCTCATAAAATTCCATTTGAATATTTTCAGCGCCATTGAACCCTTTGCACTTAGCATTAACTTTTCTGCGTTTTGTTGTCATTTGCTTAATTATAATTAAATTATATGCGCATCAAACGAGTGATTGTGAATTATATAATTGTCAGGTTATAATATAATTTAGTCTAAAGAATATATTCGTCAAAGCGGATGTTTTGTTACAATAATTTAGTGAAGCGTCGCAGGCCGGATGATAGTGCTCTGTAGGTTGGGCCGTAGGCTGCCGGCCTCTGTTGTAAAGCATTGCGGAGGGTATAGCTAGGACTTTTAGGACATCGGAACGTAGTATGTGTACCAGGTTAGGGTTAGGCCATACTTTCAGGTACAAATACTACGGGAGTCACTTGGTTATTCCCCAATCTTGTAATAGAAGTAAAATAACGAAAATTGGAATAAAGTAATGGCCTAACCCTGATCTGGTACACATACTATGTACAGGTGTCCGCCATTTTGGTTCACATACTACGGGAGCGTCAGCTAGGGATTATAACCACGGGCCGTAGCTTACCGACCCCTGTTGTAAAGCATTGCAAACTGAATACAGGGGCATAGCTAGGACTTAATAATCAACTTATGACGCATGTATATTATGGAGTCAGAGCTAAATAAGGAAGTCTATCATAGTAGTTCTCTTGCTTATCCCTTGCAATTTCTTTTGCACGAATTGCGGTATTTTCTATATACGCCTTATTTGTACTTTGATTCTTACTTGTTTTTGATCTTCTTTGCTCGTTTTGCATATCGAAGTGTGTTCAGGGTCTCGCTGACGTTTTGTGAAGAAGGGGACACACAGGCGATCTGTGAATGAAATATATAAACTAGTTTAAATTAATATTAGATGAGATCCATAGTTATTCCAGGTGGTAGAGAAAAAGATATGATGGCGTTATTATCATATGACGAATCAAGATCTTGGTTACCCGTCTATGTCGGGTAAGGGATACATGGATTTCATGGTTGCTCTTTAAATACCTCCATACCTAACTTGGTCTGGTAGCCAAACAAGAGGCCATGGTTCCTCATAAGATTAAGCCAGCTTCCACAGCCACTTTGTATTCAGAAATGAAGCAGTGACTCACTGAATACCTAAGCTTTTCAATCAGCGTTCATTCCCCCTGAAAGAAAATTTAGAACACTTTTTTTTGCTAATATAGGCACAGCGTATACTTCCCAACCTCGTCACTTTCCGAATCGCTAGACTCTTCTATGACATCATAATCAATTATTCCTAGCTCTCTTTCGTCTTCTTCCATTTTAATTATTTTCATTTTTAATCAACTAAAGCTGTAAACATTGAATGATTCGTATTTACTCGAACGAAGTCTTTCGATAATTGACAGTGAGTGGACGCGTATGTACCACTTGTTCTTGTTTTATTCTGTTCGTTTTAAGGCTTATCTAAGGTTTTGTTTGCTCTCCTGATTGCATAATCAATTTTTATCAATTATTTTATTGTCTGTTATGCTGATAATGGATTGAAATAAACTTATTTATCGATGCATCTGCAGTGCCTTGATCTGAGCAAAACCAGCATAAATCCTGGTAAAAATAACTCCCTCAAAGAACATTTAATTTTGCGACATATGTTTGCGACACCACTTGAAAAACTTTTTGTAGGAAATGTTTTCTTTTATCTATGGCACCTCAAGTAGTTTTGGATAAGATCTACTTGAACAGATTTTGATTTAGTTGCTCTTTTATACATAAGTATAGAATATTGGCGATTGGGTGCATGACATTTTTTGTTTATATTAGAAAAAAATTCAGACCGGAGAATTAATTATTTAAAAATTTATAATTTCAGTATTTCACATTTTTTATTATTTAATTCAATTTCTATGAATTCACCTCTGCTTGCCTGAATGGCCCAATAAAAAATGTATTTTATATTTTAAGTATCATTTCAGAATTTCGCCATCGCTGACAACCAACATAATGTTATCCATCTGTTTGTTGTACAGGATGTCCAAAAAATTTGCCAGATTCTACAGTCATAACAATTTTTAGTTTAAATAAATTTCATTGTATGATAAAATGAGAACTGCATGTACAATAAGGACTATTAATAAACAAAGACAAATGAGTTTCAATTGTTGTTACTATAAAAACGGGCGAAATTTTTTGGATACCCTGTATATAACTGGTAAAACTAAATCATTTCTGTAACGCTAAAATCACAAATCTATCGAGTCTCTGCTCATCCCCTCTACAAATTGTAACTGTGTCCTTATATAAAGCTGACATCTTCAGAACTCGTGAGCCGCAGATTTATGAAAAGCTAAATCTACTTGAGAGAATCTTAAGTACTTGTCACGCTTTTTGATCCATTATGACTTAAAAATACCGCAACAAAGGGTGTAGTTACTCTTTGATTGTTTTGTCACGATTTGTCTTTGTGATTTCATAAAAGATAACATGTGAATATTGTTACATCACAAAGTAAGTAAATATTCACAGATGACAACTTGGCACCACTCATTTAACACTGCATTGTGTTTCATGTTTTTACATATTTATTTTGGGCCGGTTGTTTGAAGAAGTTTGAGACTTTTGAGGAAAGATTTGCCATTAGGGAGGATGTTTATTTTTATTTGACCTCAATAACCTTGTCGAATATTCTTTGATGCTGAAATGGAATTGAATAATTTTTTTTTCAATTATTCAAGGAATTATAAATCTTCCTACTTTTAGTTAAACGTTTGTTTTGGGTACACTGTAGTATGTGTACCAGGTTGGGATTAGACCATAATTTTATTCCGATTTTTCATATTTTAGTTTTATTACGAGTTCAAGTAGTGTTTTAGCCAAGTGAATATACCCTCTGTCCATAGGTTTCAGTCCCTTTACACAACTTGATGTAAAGTAGACGAACCAAATTAGTTACCTCCATGTTGGTACACACACTTCTGGAGCGCCTCTCAAACTAACTAATTTGTTTTGACAGCTAGCAATAAACCTAAACATAGCTCGTTTTTCATTAATGGTTACTTACAAACCTTCTACCAGTACTCTTCCTACTTTTAGTTAACGCTTAGTTTTGAGCTGAATTGTATAAAAATAAATAAAACATGGATTCGGCTTCTCATATTCTAACCAAACCTAAATTCCTATTAACTCAGATACAAGGTGATTCATGAATGCCTGTAAATTTATTAATTTCTTTTACAAAAGAAAGAAAATTTATTTAACACTGTTTGTGATTGATTGTACTCAAACGTTTTCAGTAATCAGGGACGCTTTGCACAAAAGTTTTGCTCTCTCTAGAACAAGGGGTGTGCAAACTGCAGCCCGCGGGCCAAATGCGACCCGCAAACAAAAATTGTGCGGCCCGCGAAGAATTAACAATTTTAATGGTGTGCAGCGAAACGAGTATTCATTTTCCTGCGTCGTAATACCTATACCAGTCATATTAGCAAAACAAACTAGCAAAATTCTGTTGCAAAATATACAATATAGGCTATATTACAAAAACGTGTTTCTCACTGAATTGGTTTAAAGTCGGAGTGCCGATAAATTTGAATAGAAGTTTTTTCAAGAGTTTATGGGTTTTAACTCACTATTTCTGCAAGAATTCCTAGTAATGCCGTTAGATTACTAGCAAATATAAACAATTTTGGTGCTTACCACTACTGGAAAGTCCAAACTAAATAAAGTTGCGGCCCGCGGCTTCACCCAGTTACTTGTATTTGGCCCACCAATGAAAAAGGTTGCACACCCCTGCTCTAGAACAATGGTGGTCAAACAGTTGGGTGCGCCCAGTGATGAGTTGTAGCCGGAACGCACCGGAACGGCGTTCCGGTTGTTGGACATTCTATTGCATTTGCGTTCCTGTTGTTGAAATAAAATTAAGTCATGGAAAGTTTAGTTTCTCCGGTAAACTCAGTTGTTTTGTTACGTAATAATTCTTTTTACATTGCGGCAAACAATTAGTTAGTACAGCAGTAACATGTAGTGGATTTTCGCCGACCTTTGACCCCGTGAAAATTTGTTCTGTTACATTCTGATAATAACATTTGTATTGAATTGGTATGAATATTCTTGTAATTATAAACAGACATATTTCAGGTAATGAATTCATATTTCATTGTAGTTCTTCGGCTCTATCTTGGGACAGACAAAAATTTCTGGCAGCGTCCGCGTCGTGTTGTAAATATATATTGCATACACGAATTAGGTGCGTTCCGGTTGTTACAATTTTTCCAGCTCATCACTGGTTGCGCCCCACAACAGTAGCTTGAAGCTAATGGAAAATAAAAATAGCTGTTAGATCCGATCTTGCCTGCCTTATTTTAGATACCTTTCTTTATTGTTTAGAGTTTGCAGAGAGCTGTTGTGACAAAATTTTGCGACTTGAAAAGTCATGGTAACGACTCCCGATCGCTAGTTGGCATCGTTTATAGTCAGAACTAGGACGGTATCTGATCGTCTTCGAACCTCTGACTTTCGCTCTTGATTAAAGAAAACATTCTTGGCGAATGTTTTCGCAGTAGTTCGTCTTCCGCAGATCCAAGAATTTCACCTCTAACGGCAGACGGCAGAGTACGGACGCCCCCGTCTGTCCCTCTTAATCATTACCTCGTGCCCCGAAAACCAACAAAATACTGCTCTAAAATATGTTCTACATCACTGGGGTTTTATTTACTGTCCTAAATTATTAAAATCATTGATCTGGGTTCTTTATTTTGGATCACCCCTGAACAGTTTTTAAAAGTTATTCATAATCATGATTTCGCCAATATAGCTGTTTTTTACTACGATATCTGACTATCTCTAATCCCTCCCTCGACTAGCTATTGAAAGTGAAAGCATCTGGATTTATGTGGGATAATGTTAGGTATTTTTGGGCACAAGTAACCGGTTATTACTGGTATTAACTGGTTTTGAAATTCTTTGCCAAGCTTAGAATTAACACTCTATGGAAGGCAGAGAAATTTGACACAAAAGGAAAACCTTAGTAACTTATATTTACTGTGTGTTGGTTGTCAAGCAAATAAATAAAAATAGAGCATAATTTTTTACAAAACAGTTTTCTTGTTTTCACGGTAGCTGACTCTGACAATCGCTCCCCCCAGTTTATACCGAATAACTATGTGTACTTTGTAAATTGTTACTTATCGATCTTGATCGGTAAGTATGTTGATAGGTACCGTATTTTCTCGAAATTACGCCTATCTCGCGAATAAGCCGACTCCCTAATACCAGCTTCAAAATAGTGAATTTATAAAAATTCGCATATACGCCGTTTCTACAAATCGTAATGGAAGACAGCACTTTGCGGATTACTGTCAACATAAAAGGAATTAAATCAGCGCCGACTTGAAGTACCCAACGTATGACATGAGAACATTTTTGATTGAAAATGTTTTACAATCCTTATTTTATATTAACCTAGTCGAGATATCCTGAGCGGCAACGGCATTTCGCAAGTCTTCTCAAACATGATTTGTGTAAGCTTCATATATGGGCTGATATATTTTATAATGTATGCCAAAGTGTCTGCCGATTATTTAATTGACTTTGTATACCAGCTGTTATTTGTGTTAATCCTTTAAAAACAAAAACTTGGGAAGCACTTCCTGCCCAATATCGGCACTTCAGAAAGAAAACGCTACCACGAGATAACGTAATTGATTTATGACCCTTCCGTTTTGCTGATTCAGGAAAAAAACGGAAAACACAGCACACAATAGAAGTGCTTGTTTTGTATTGCACTGTTTACCTATTCTTGGTACTATTGTGGCCCGCGACCAATGCCAAAATAATTTTGTGGCCCGCGGAGCCCGCAACCCTGGACCACCTTGACTTAGACCAGTGGCGTTTCCCCCCCAGGGAGAAATTTTTCTTTGAATTCACTGCAGTTTTACTAATATTTTTTAGTTCTTCAACATTACTTCAATACTTATTTATGCATATATTAATTAAATATAAACTACCTATAATGTACGAAAGAGTGACTTTTTCATAACGTAAACCAAGGATTCATTAAAAATTGAATAAATAAAGTAGGATAGGATTTACATATTTATTCCGGGGGAGGGGAAAGGCGATAAGACGGCTTAATCATATGATGAACCACGGCCTCTTGTCCGGTTACCAGTCCAGGTCGGGTATTGGATTAGTTAGCCAGTTATTTGTTTTCCGAAGCTTGGACTTGATGATGGAGGAAGCCGTAACCGACCAGCGGTTCCGTGAACCACCCTACGGCGGCGAGGAGTCCAGCAATCCTCTCGCACATGATCATCCCCGCATGGGATTCGAACCTGCGAACACACGAAGGGTAATCAGAGATGCGGTGGCGAGCGTATTCCTAACGCTTAGCACGATGCGCCACATCGCCGAGCCAAAGTAGTTTTCACTGAAAGTGAGGGAGGAAAAAGGAGTTATAAAATAAACGAAGAGAGGAATTTAACGACAAAGAAATGCCTCATGAAAATATAAGTTTAGTTACATTTAAGCTCTGTATAATTTAAACAAATATTCCCTGTTGCATGTTTATTTTTTACTGCAATACAGACCCAGGGCATTTAATGTCAAACGACCTGTTTTACGAGCTACATTTTTGATTGAAAATGTTTTACAATCCTTATTTTATATTAACCTAGTCGAGATATCCTGAGCGGCAACGGCAATAAATTTGGTTATTTTTCGCAAGTCTTCTCAAACATGATTTGTGTAAGCTTCATATATGGGCTGATATATTTTATAATGTATGCCAAAGTGTCTGCCGATTATTTAATTGACTTTGTATACCAGCTGTTATTTGTGTTAATCCTTTAAAAACAAAAACTTGGGAAGCACTTCCTGCCCAATATCGGCACTTCAGAAAGAAAACGCTACCACGAGATAACGTAATTAATTTATGACCCTTCCGTTTTGCTGATTCAGGAAAAAAACGGAAAACACAGCTGTTGCCTAACCCATGGACGTACAGCAATATTTATCACACCATATTCATATGTTATTTCAACTTTTCAGTTAAATGGTTGTTCAAAATAATTGAAATTACAGTTTTATTGTTAAGAATTAATGCTGTGACTGTGAGTATTATTCTATCTGATTCTTACTTGTAAATTTATGTTAATAACGTCTATATTGCTTTTCAATGCGCGGTGATTTGTATTAATGAAGGGATAAAACAGAAGGGATCAGCATAAAACAATTTCTTTCAAATCGAATGTTGTATTAACACATTCTTATAAATCGCTGATTCGGAAGTTGCTATTAAAAGGATTTTCAAACGTGGTAGAATGGATGTCGTTTTGTGACATATTTACAAGCTCCATTATTTCGATGTTGCTCCGTAATGCGATTTGAATAATTTTATTTATCATTTAATTTTAAATATTGTGTCATCACCTCAACAGCGTAAGCGATGTCATGCATATGTAACGGTAAATATTTCAATTATAACGGAGATAAGAGTCTTTATCAGCGCAACTGAAAAGGATAACATATCGTAAAGGTGATCAAAATGAGGGCGCCGTTACTTGCGTTGTACCGCGATAGTGCACTAAATGATAACGTTTCACCACGAAACGCTGGCCGTAAATCGACGCCAATCAGACTGTACAAGCGTCACGTGTTTAACAACCAATCACAGACTGTACGAGCCATCATCTGTATGATGAGACAATCACACCGGCACAAGCGATTGTGTATGTGCGTTCTTTATCGTGAGAACTTAGTGCGGTTTGAAGCTTTTGGAATTACCGGCAAGTTAGCTAAATGTCAATCTCGTTGCGTGATCAAAGTCATGCGCGAATGAGTCGATTTTTTTATGCAATCTGAGTTATGCGAGTATAAGCCGCCCCCTTAGTTTGGCAACTTTTTTTTTGTGTTTCAAACGGCGTATGTGCGAAAATATACGGTATTTGTCTGTCTGTCTGTTAGATACACGCGATATCTCACGAAAGCGAGGTTGAATCTGCTCCAAATTTTGCATGTGCATTCATCATATCTCGGACCAGAAGCCTATTGATTTTGGATGAATTATGTCGTATAATTAGCAAGTTATTAATTAATTAGTGACAAGAAACATAGTCTCACTATGGAGTAAGAGCGCATGAATCGATCGATAAGTCTTCGATCTCCGACCGATATTTTCGTTTTATTTTCGCAATGTTTTTTGGTTGACAAAACAACAAATTTCTTTCTTTTTTTTTCTACTATTCCTCTATCTTGACCCGCTTTTCTAAGCTAGTCTCTCCGTTCCTTGACTTTCTCTATCAATTCAAATAAGGTTTTTCTTGATTTATGCCAGCCATATGTGGCACAAATAACCAGTTATAACCGGAGGGAAATGTGAGAGGGACACACCATTAATAAGTTTACCAGATTGAAGGATTTCAACTAATTTAGCACGGGCCTCACCATAAAATTTTTCCTTTCCCCCCATTGTAAGTACAACAAACCTTAGTTTACCATCTGATATAGCCATTGTATCAGCTTTCCTCTCCCCCATAATAAATATAAAAATCCTGGGCTAGAAACCAGATGAAAGGGCGTTCTTTGCCTTGTGATAAATCCTGTCAACTTTCCTTTTCCCCCCAGTATGGATTCAAAAACAATAATATGCAGTTACTCACCATCAACGTAGCCCCGCTTCCTCCGAGACTGTCTGCGAGTAGTTTGGTCAGCTTGCTATCTCTGAATGGAATATGTCCAGTACGTTTCTTACTGTCACTTAATGCAGAGATACAATTGCCTGAAATTATAAATAGGATTATTGACAGCTTTTCATGAGAGTTGCATGAGGCTCGATGCTTCAATGGTTGGTTAGAACATTGGTTCCAACCCTTTTTCGAGCGACTCAAATTTTAAAAATAAATTGTGTATAATCATGGTATGTAGCAAACTTCATGACAAATATAAAACGATCATTTTTACTTAATATTTATTTTCCCAGAAATTACCCCAAAGTGAGAAGGCATCGATTCTTTGCCATCAGTGAGTTATTGAAATCATTGCCAGGCTTCACTTAGCAAAAGGATTGCTGCAAAGTTTTTACGCTGTGATGCTTCCCATAATATACAATAACTATTGAGCAACACTTCAATACAAAATATAAAAATAATAAAATTTACTGGAAAATAAAATTATTAATTTTCAACCTGATTATGTTGGCGTCAGAGACTTATAATTATATGTAAAGATCTAGATTTAAAAATTTGAAATTTAAATTCTACATGATCATAATTCTTAGACCGTTCTAAAAACTTTCTTTATTAAATACTCTTCCTCAAAAAGACTATCCAATAATTTCGTTTCATAAACTCTTCTTAACTTACAATGCAACTCGCAATGTCTGTGTTGTGTCAAAACAAGACATTGTAATTTTAGCGTGTCTGAATATTTGACAAAGGTGGGTCAGACCCTGAGTATTTGCTGTTAAACAACATGTTTTACAAGCTATTCCTGGGATTAAGTGTTTGCCTCGGTAAATAGAGAGATTAAACAAATAGAAAACAATCTTTTGTAATAGGAAGCAATTAAACTGTAATTTCTATATGATGCTGAATTATTACATGTTTTAAGGGTGTGATGACCGAGACCAGGGTGGTCCATACCGAGGCCCGTGGGCCACATGTGGCCCGCCGCTCCATTATCTGTGGCCCACGCCGCATTCGAAGAGTAATCAAAATATTGTATTTTAAATTGCTTCTCATAAAATAAATCAGAAAAAGTGTTTGACATATTGTTGTTATATCACCACTGTGACTGAATTGACTAGTATGATGGCTAGCTGAAGCAACTAGCGAAGTTGAAGATGTGATGGGCAGTTTAAATTGTTACCTAGATTTCTATCGTTTTGGTTGGAGATATTTGCTAACAATATAGGTACAATAGAAAACTAAAAATCGAATCCGGATTCCATTAGCCTAGGTCGGAAATGCCTGATAACTATGTGTTTACACAATAGAAGTGCTTGTTTTGTATTGCACTGTTTACCTATTCTTGGTACTATTGTGGCCCGCGACCAGTGCCAAAATAATTTTGTGGCCCGCGGAGCCCACAACCCTGGACCAGCCTGACCTAGACCAGTGGCGTTTCCTCCCAAGGACAAATTTTTCTTTGAATTCACTGCAGTTTTACTAATATTTTTTAGTCCTTTAACATGACTTCAATACTTATTTATGCATATATTAATTAAATATAAACTACCTATAATGTACGAAAGAGTGACTTTTTCATAACGTAAACCTAGGATTCATTAAAGATTGAATAAATAAAGTAGGATAGGATTTACATATTTATCCCGGGGGAGAGGAAAGTCGAGAAGATGACTTAATCATATGTTGAACCACGGCCTCTCGTCCGGTTACCAGTCCAGGTCGGGTATGGGATTAGTTTGCCAGTTATTTGTTTTCCGAAGCATGGACTTGATGGTGGAGGAAGCCGTAACCGACAAGCTGTTACGTGAACCACCATACGGCGGCGAGGAGTCCAGCAATCCTCTCTCACATGATCATCCCCGCATGGGATTCGAACCTGCGAACACACGAAGGGTAATCAGAGATGCGGTGGCAAGCGTATACCTAACGCTTAGCACGATGCGCCACACCGCCGAGCCAAAGTAGTTTTCACTGAAAGTGAGGAAGGAAAAAGGAGTTGTAAAATAAACAAAGGGAGGAATTTAACAACAAAGAAATGCCTCATAAAAATATAAGTTTAGTTACATTTAAGCTCTGTATAATTTATAATAAATATTCTCTGTTGCTTTGTTTGTTTTTATTTCTTACTGCAATACAGACCCAGGGCATTTAATGTCAAACGACCTGTTTTACGAGCTATTCTTGGGAATAGGTACCAGTATATATATATGGCTTTGTAAATAAGCAAATAAAAACAGTCTCTAGTCATGAGAAGTCATTAAACTATGCAATTTCATAGGAAACCAGGTGTGTTTATTGTGTGATGCTAAAAATGATTTAATTGAGCAATATAGTTTTATCGTAGTGTTAGCCAAGTTTATTTTTTTCAACCAATTAACCAATTTTCGTTATTCTCGTTTAAGTCATACTTGAGAACTGGAAATAACAATATATCAATTATTGTAACGATCGAAAATAACAAGCGCCCGTGCTTGAATAAGGGCCGGTTTTAATAAGGGCCCGGTTATTGAGTTGGTTGAAAAAAATATGGGCCCCCCCCGGGTAGATCTTTTATCATGAGAAGCCATAAAACTATAAATGTTTATAGGAAACCAAGTGTGTTTATTGTGTGAGTGTGGTGTTAAAACTAATAAATGACTTACGGTAATAAAGCAATATAGATTCAGCATGTTATTAGTATAGTTCCTTATTCCAAGCCAATTAACCAATGCAGGGGCTACAAAGGGTATTGTTTACTGAACTGCAAATTCTTTTTTTCTGTTTACTTGACCTGTTTCGAATAACCAATGATCCAGTAATTCTCAAAAGTGGGTAATATCACTCCTTAGGGGACGAAAGATATACAATGTGGAGCAAAAAGCATTGGGTCGATAGTACATTATTCGAAAAGTTGGAATAATTGCAGAACTTGTTTTGCTCCTGAATTACCAAAATGTCTCCAAATATCACAATAGCTGAGTGGTTAGATCAGGATATTCATTCTCTCATTTATTCTTTACAAATTTCAAAACTAAAATTTATCCCCTCATGCCAAATATTCCAATGTTTTCACTTTTACAAATACCTGCATGACTCGTGAGGGGACTAAGGCTTAGGACATAGGAATTTCAGCATTGTATTGGGGATAAACGTGTCAGCCCAGTACTGATGCTAACTTAGATTATTGTGCGCTTCAGAAGTGTGTGTACCAATATGGAGGAAACTAATTTTGTTCGGCTACTTTACATCAAGTTGTGTAAAGGGGCTGAAACCTATGGGCAGGGGGTATATTCACTTAGCTAACACAGACAGTCCCTGAACTTGTAATAGAACTACCGGTAAGATAAAGAAAATCGGAATAAAATTATGGCACAACCCTAACCTGGTACACTTACTACAGAAATACCCATTATTGGACACACAGTGGAACTATAAATTGTTATGTTGTTGTTGTTGGTATTTTTCCCCTTTGTTGTTATAAATCGCTTTTCTCATTCACTAATGAACCAATTGCTTTAAAATTTGCAGTGGTTACGACTGTATTTTTCGTTAGAGAGCTATTACTTTTTTCTGTCCATATATTAGAGCATAGCTTTCTTGATCTGTAAGTAAACTTACCTAAAGTCAGCAAACTTCTGTTTATGTTCGTAGCCTCAGTCAATGTGTCCCCAGTTGAACCAGTCTCCTTCACTTTTTCACTCCCCGCAAGATCCACGAACGATATTTTGCCTCGTTTAGTCACTGAGATGCCTTCTTCAATCTGAACAACAAGAAAAGTGAATTTCACGATTTCAAAAACTCGTTGATGGCTAACAAGCGCAAGCTTCTTCACCAGTTTGAATTAATTTCTATTGAAATAAATATTATGTAAAAATGTTTTATGTTAGCCATTTAATTTTGCGCCACTACATTAGTATGTGAGTAAATCCTTGGGTGACAAGATTTTACAAAATTCATTTTTTAGAAAAGCCTTGTTTAGAGTAAAATATTGAATATTTCGAAATAGTAATTCCTTATAAATCACTGGGTACTTGTCGTGGCCTTGTTCAGAGTGATCGTTTGAAAACAAGCGTAAAAAAGACATACCACTTCACTATCAATATGTACAGTCAGTATACTGTGACTCCTGCTTGAATGTTCGTTCATATTGTGAGCAGCCACTGATCGATTCTTCATCCCGTCTTCTAGAACAGTCATAAGTTCGTCCAACGTCTCGATCTCTCGAACAACAAGATTCTCGACGTAAAATCCCGAGCTTTTTGACCAGCGCATTTGTACAATGTCATATCCGTACGGATTCAGTAAATCTTGCACCTGAAAATATCAAAATAGTCATCTCTTGCACTTAAGAACGCAGCTTCGGTGGGATTTCCCAACATAGTATTTGTTGGTCTCATGTTAACTGGTGCGCTTGTCATGTGGTGTCATTTGTGTATACGATTAGTAGATCTCGTGGCTTGTGCCGAGGCTATATTCTTTCTCTTATTGGACACAAAGTAGACCTATGGATTGTTATGTTGTTGTTCTTGTCCTTGTTACTTATCGATCTTAAGATCGGTAAGTATATTGATAGGTATTTGTCTGTATGTATGTATGTCTGTTAGATGAACGCGATATCTCGCGAATGCGAAGTTGAATCTGCTCCAAATTTTGCATGTGCATTCATCTTATCTCGGACCAGAAACCTATTGATTTTGGGCGAATTATGTCGTATAATTAGCGAGTTATCAATCAATTATTGATATAGTGATCTAGATTTTTGTAAAGCGAGAGAATTTTGAGACCCGCCGAGTGTGTGTGTGCGATGCGCAGTGCGCAAGTTACAAGAGCGGATGAATCGAAACTGCAGTTTCTGTTTTGGGGGATCCCCTAACTATCGATCGATAAGTCTTCGGTTTCCAACCGATATTCTCGTTAGAACTTTGTTCTTTTTGTTATGAAAAAATCGCTTTTAGTTAGGGGGAGGGGGAGTTAAGTGTCTAGCCCCCCACCCCATTTTGTAATGTAAAAAAAAAACTTTTTTTTGTATCGTACATTGCAATTTTTGGTAGCTTGAAATGATTTTTAGACTCAAGACCGCTACATGTTACGGTGTAACTTGACAATTGGAAATTTCAGAAACCCCCCCTTTGAAAATTCTAGACTACGTCCCTGATCAGCATTTATCAAAGGCACAGGCATAAGCCTTGAGGGTATGGAAAGCATTTTAAGCTACAAAAATTGCTATTTATGATACAGAAAAATGCTTTTTTTTACATTTCAAAAAGAGGGGGGGGTTTCGACAAGAAAAACCACCCCCTCTCCCCCTGGGTTCGTGACAAACTCAGGGTTTAGGGACTTCCCCCCATATCTCTTACCTGTTCATTATAAATTTCCATGTACGAAGCTCTCATTGTAAAGGCATCATTCTTCTGAAATGCTTCTTGTATCAAGTAAGCAAAGCTATATTGCATTAATCCATAGTTGTCTGGGTGTCTCAGTGAATCTGCGTCATGTTGTTTGCTTGTCTCCTCCTGTGACATAGTATAAATGTTGAAATTTGAGATTTAAAGAGAATAAATGCTGAAATAAAGATGTTTACGACCTAAATAACACTTCACACTGTGAAAACAATCAGCCATTATAAAAAAATGCAATCGCACGTGCTATTAGCGGTCTTTTCGTTTTTCAAAAATTTCAAAAGTGTTAAACTCTGATGAATTAGATGGGTTTTCCATATTTATCCCAGGGAGGGGAAAGTTGGTGTTCCAAAAAGGTATAAAATGTCAATGTAGCTTACGTAGCGACACACATACATTTTCTGAAATGAGTGAACCTGTTTTTAGAATTATGGATTTAATCACTGGTTCCGGACTTCCTACGACAGGGGTTGGCCAGTTACAGAGAATAGACTTAGTTCCTGGGTTAGTTTATTTATAACAGCTAGGCTAACATTTATATGATAATAGGAAACACAATGTAACAATCGAGGCCGTTTTGACGTTATTTTCATCCATATTTTCAACGGAAATTTATATTCATGAAAACTATAGTCGTAATTTTAGCGGACACAAGTGGGCTGGATGGAACACTTTGCTGGGCCAGACCACTGGACTAAGATCTCTAACCAGAGTTGGCCACTTACTGGTGTAACAGGTCCTGTCATTGTGTAGGATTTCCCAGATCCTGTTTGTCCAAATGCGAAAGCAGTGCAAGCATATCCTCTTATTGCCATGTCTAGAAGTTTCTGAATATCTGGAAGCAAAATTGAACTTTTGTTTTGTTATTGGATATACGAGCGTAAATTTGGATCGTTCCGTCAAATACTTGTCGTTATTGGGAAAAATTGATTGATCGATTGATTCTAATTTTTGGTGGTTGAAGATGAAGAAATCGCTAGATGTCCATTACTTATTAAATTTCCTCTTGAATCTGATGGAAGCCAATCAATGACCCAAAGTTTTATTTCAATTGAAAGGAAACACTTCTTGTACTTCATCAGGCTTGACTGCCTCTGCCCACTTGTCCGTCAATTTCTTAAGCAAAGTCGGTGTTACTGGTACCATTACATGACTACAGATTTTCTAGCAGTGCTCTCATGTTTACGTAACTCCCATATTTTTGCACTAATTATTTAACCCTTTCCGTGCGGTGGGCACGTATACGTACCCACGACAAAAGTCGCTAGATTGCGGCGGGTACGTTGATGTACTCCACTGTTTTATTTAGCAATTGGTCGCAAACTGTTGGTCTAGTTTTTCCGGGGTTTAGTTTATTGATAAGAAGTCTTCTTCGAGATTAACATAAGCGACGGTAAATCTCGCTTTCGTTTACGACGGGAATTTTATTTGCGGCGGAACGAGGGAGTGTTTTTGAAATTTATGCAAATTTCTGTGTTTTTTGGGTGGTAATAGAAGACATATTATCCCTTCCATCTACCAAAGTATTTTGAGTTGGATCACGAAATTGCTACAGCAATATTATGCTATTTTTTGCCAACCACGAAGCGGTAATGGTAAAGGATTTAGCGAATATTTCTATTTTTTATCACGGTTTCAAGTTTCAACTCCCAAGAAAAAAAAATGCCTCTTTTCTATCCGGTTTGTGACTCAGACCAACACTTTTAAAAAAACTTTTTTTTTCAATCGCCAATTGCAAGCTCTTTAAATAAGCTTTCCAACGAGCCGTCAGTGGGCAGCAGAGGATCATTAGTTTTTCGTTAGTTGATCGATTAGTTGTGGGGGTACAAATGCATAAAATCGGCGACGCAAATACGATTATTTAATAAAAAATAAAAATCGCATGGAAAGGGTTAAATATACATGCAATTGCTTTTCTTGTTATAGTTGAACTATGTAGGTGTGAATGTTGGTGTAAAGCAAGAGTCTTAGGTCACTTAAGAATCTTATGTTTGGTAGTATTGCCTACTCACCACAATTTCCAAAAACTTCTTTCTGTGTGGAAAGTGTTTCAAAAACTGCGTTGAATGCAAATGATTTCTTTTGTCCTGCTTGACTTTCAACCTGAATATTAAAAAAAATAAATTTGTGGTCATTCCAAATCGAGCGCATCATGAAATATCAATCTCTCTTTGTGAATTCTGAATACATGTGAATTCTAAAGTTAACATTAAGCAATGAAAGATATTGGAATAAACGTTGAGACAGAAGTACGGCTCTTTCCACCATCATGCCCATGCATACCGAACAATGCTATCCCCACACATGACGTTGATTGGTAATATGGTAAATTACCTGATTATGAAATTAATTTTTGATTCATGTTTTCGGATCAACGAAATAAATAGCATTATTAATCTAAAATATCTGCGAGCATAAAATATGTGATCAACTGTGCGATTATAAATTATTGATTCGTGTTTTTGCAACCTAGCGAAGTTGTTAAGCCACAGTTTGCCTAATGATTAAGCCGTTTTAGCCCTAGCCCCTTTGAAAAATGAAATTCTCTACTCACAAACATTCCTCCATTTCCAGGAAATTCAATCGATTCTTGATCTTTTCTTGCAGTTTCTTGTGGATTCAGGGGACGAACTCTGGAAACAAGGAAAAAGAATGATGAAAAGTAAAAAAAGTTAATTCGGATTTGGAAACTTAAGACAAAGAAGAAATGCATAAAGATGATCTGCTAGAGAAGAAATACGAGTTCGTATATTTAATTTTTTTTTTTCAATAAAATTTGCTTAAATCAAAAGTTATGGACACCTATCAGAAGTAAGTTATGGACGATCGATCATTGAAATTCGAGTGCAACTACTGGGTTGTCTCTGAAAAGTCGAAAATGTGAAGATCAGATGAAATCATGAATAAAATGCGCGCTTACGGTACTTTTTAGTAAACGGCTTTCAGACTTTGAAAGGAAAATGATTATTCTTTTCAAAAGTGAAAATTCGACTTGGGGACTGACAAAATAAAAATCTCACATAAAAACTTGATGTGTGTTACAGAGGCACGATTCTGAAATCCTGAAAAGGGGCCCCCCTCCCTCCACCCCCCCCCCCAAATCCACCCCCCCCCATCCATGGGGTCACAGAGCAGTTGGAGGAAGACCACAATGCTACCCACAACTGATTTCACTTTACAATAAAATTCCCTGTTCCTCCTAGTTTCATAGCTTGATAAGGTTATTTCACAGAGTGTTTTCACTTATTTGAGCATAAATTGTTTGAACATAATGGGATTTGGAATCGACCAATTGAAATATCACTATAAATACCATTGGAATGGTAAACGGGGCCATGAGGGCTGAAAGCCTCCAGAAGGGAGCCACAAGCCATAAAGGGTTGGTAACTACTGTCATAAACAATCTGACACTGAGTCAGGTATTGCCATAATGGTGCTCCTGAAGTATGCGAACCATGATGGCGGACATCGAAACGTAGCATGGGTAACAGGTTAGGGTTAGGCCATAATTTTATTCCAATTTCCCTTATTTTAGTCCTACTATGAGTTTGAAGACTAGCCGAGTGCCTCTCGTAGTATTTGTACCTAAAATTATGGCCTAACCCTCACCTAGTACACATATTACATTCCGATGTCCGCCATCTTGGTTCGCATACTTCAGGAGCCTCGCCATAATTCACTATTCCAAATATATTGTGAAATAGGTCTTCCAGTAGTATGAGTACCAGGCTAGGGTTAGGACATAATTTTATTCCGATTTTCCCAATTTTAGTCCTACTATGAGTGTGGGGACTGTCTGTGTTAGCCAAGTGAATACACCCTGCCCATAGGTTTCAGTCCCTTTACACAACTTGATGTAAAATAGGCGAACAAAATTAGTTTCCTCCATATTGGTACACATACTTCTGGGGGGCCGTGAAATATTAAGTTTGGCCCTCCCTTATACGGGATATATCTTCAGATATGTAAATAAATGCAAAACAAAATATTCATACCTTGCTACCACATGTACAGGGCTTCCATCCGTTTCCGATGAATCAGCTGAAGATTGTTTCCTGCAAAAAGAAAAGAAGAATGGATTGAAGTATCGTTACCACTCTTGGCGCTTTTGCACCACATTTCATACTCGACTGATAATAAAGGTGTGTCGTGTGTTCACTTTTAACACACTGCACATCTTTTGTTAGATAGCGTGTTTCGCAAAAAAAGTTTTGAATTTTTCTTTTCAAAATGATTTGTGTATTGAATTGGTATTTTTCATCATTTATAGCTAAGTGAACACATACCCCTATTTTTGACAACATTTTTAGTTTGATTTTCATAGTTTTAAACCTCACTTTTAATTGCTTTCATGATTCGGTAATCAGATTTAAGTAATTTGTTTTTATCAGTTATGTTATCACCCTTTATGCTGATTATGAAGAAATAGCTTATACCACCTGATTTGACAACATTTTTATTTCAATTTTGTGTGATTCAAATTACGCTTTGTTTTCACTTATTTTTGCAATTTGGTATTATTAATCATTTTATGGCCTGTTATGCTGATTATGGAGTCGAAAGAAAAGCATATCTAATTTTGCTAATATAAAAATTATTTTTAAAGCATGTTGAAAATTAGTAATTGGTAGACGCAAGGGATACCATAAGTATAAGCTTATACGTCTTTTGGAACAAAAACAGTTGAAACTGTATTTCTTAAATTATTGTTTAATCGCTAATGATAAAAATATATTTGCCTACTTATTTATGTGTTGTGACTATAACAAACATTGGTTGGCGAGTTTGATGGTGATCTCGATATTTATTAAGAATGATAAGACATTCTTTTATGCCATCTTGAGTCCCATGACAAACCCTTTCTTCAGATCCATTTTTAAGCCGATCTCCTTCGAGAAATCTTGCCGTATATGTCAATTTTGCATGTTGCCAACACCCTTGAATACTTGTTCCAAATTATTCTTCTTATACTTGGACTCAGTCTGGGGCCATGCAACTTCTGGGTAAGCAAGTTACAACCTGAGTCCTTAGCATGGGATAAGATATATTTCTTCTCTGGCCAGTTAATTCTCTAGATTTTAGTTACAGCTTTTATAGGAAATTTCCCAAAGCAAGGTCACCCGCCGTGATTTCGTAATAATGAGGACTCAATGTTTATACAAACCCGATTTGGTCCTTGTGACACTTTGCAAGATAGCAGGAAGTTTTACATAACAATTACCGACCGACTCCTTAACATAGGATCGTGTATAATTCGCTCTGATCGTTTAATTTTGTAATTTCGGGTTACTTTCGGTGAAAATAAAACAAGGCCACGAAAACTAATAGGTATGAGGAACTCATCTCGGGGCAAAGTCGCGGCACGGGCGACACACATCCATAATGCCCGCCGTGTATTCAGATACATAATTCGCGCGTTTTCGAACTCCCAGCAGCGCTGTAGAATTAGTGGACAATGCTTTCTATTGAGCAATTGTTATTGTTGGTATTCGCAACCTAATCCACCTGTCTGTGACATCATATTTCAGTTTAAGTGTTCAATTGTTGAATCATAACATACAAAACAAAATTCCTCCTAACGACAAACCATTGTTTGCGCATAATCGTGCAGAAAATAATTCTTGTTTGAAAATAATAGGAAGACGACAGGGCGGTCCTTGCTAATGGAATCTTCCCTGAATGACATCTGCTTTTGTTCACACAACCAAAAGGGATTAAATTTCATCGGCATTGTTGATATTTTTTACTCGAAATCAATCTAAGTGTCATAAATTTCATAATGTCACGTTAAATCCATAACTTGTCAATATTTTCGGCATTTCTGTCAGCGCCTTCCCCTCGCAGACATTACCGGTTGTTAAACGAGTAGGATGGCTAAGAAGTAGTTCCCATACTTATCGCCCCTCCCAGAGTGAGTGGTTTTAATTTAGATCTCCATAAACATAGCTCCCTGCTTGATGCTGGCTTTCGCGTAGCGAATGTATTAGACGCCTAGTATCTATATTTGAAATAGGTCTACCATTAAACGCGTACATTGGCTTCTCAGCCATATTATTAGATTGTCTTGCTTTTCTCATCAGGGATAAACGCAAAAAATCTCAACCCTCCCTACGCATGACGCTTACAAGGTGATCTGCATTTAAACGAGATAATACAAAAATAATTTTCCTTGACTAACAAAATAAATGGCGGAAATGATAGGTCCAGTGATCAGAAATTTTGGATTTTTCGACTATGTTGGCGCAAGTTATAGATCTTGTGATAACCCACGGTGTGATGAATGTAAAGCAAGTAGGCTGATCATCGCCACATGATTATACTGTTTTATTCTCATCTCTCAACAGGGACAAACGCAAAAAAGTCGCAATTTCCAAAAAATAGAAGTTCTTTTCAATGGAGTTATATAGGAAATACCTCGTAAAAAATTTAAAAATCCTGTTAAAAACGGAGTTATCAAAAACGCTTCGATAAAAAAATCAAAAATTCTTTACCTTTCTGTTAGAATGCTAAAATGCGGCTTTGAGGGTTTCGTCGGTACAGGATGTACCGGACTCGCCTCCTCACCATGATCCTCGTGATTTTCGGGAGGAGTTTCATCGGGACTTTGATTATTTTCGTCCTTCATTGTGTATTTCCAATAATATCAATGCTACGAGATTTTTTCGGCTTCGAAATTATCCAAATTGTTTGCTTTGAGTTAATATACCGTTAAATTAGTATTATTGTGTAATAAATATACTCGTATAAATTGGTCAGTCAATGTCGAACTGGAAATACAAAATGCCCAAATAATTTTCTCGATTTTGGAGTAATGGCAATTGTAAATTTTTAAAATGAATTTTATTGTATATATGATAAATGAGAACTACAGGTACAATAAAAAATATCAATTAATTAAGGCAAAGAAAACGCAATACCGGCTAAACAATATGATCTTTGAAGTGCAGCCAGTTTAATGGTAGTGGCCTTCTTAATAGGTATATAGATTGTCCATAAAGTTTTTAAAATCGCGAAGGGAATTTATCGATATTGTTTTGGCCCTCACATATGTAGTAAATGAAGTAAAATACATAACGATTACTACCGGTAATTAAAAAACAACAAACCTGGCTAAGGTATATTGAGAACTGACTTCATAACAAAATAGAAATTGTAAAAGGACTTTATGGACACCCTGTATATATATATATATAAAGTTATAGCCTTTCATATTTGAATTGGAACTTACGGAAGCCCCTGACTGTACTGGCGGAAGCCCGGTCGGAAGCCACTGCTCTACGGCAATACAAAATTGGATTCCCGCTCCATATTTCTGATTTGTCTCGCGTTATGGGGTTTGAAATTCTAAGAGCGGGTTCTCTTATGTATCGGACTCACTCACAACAGGTTCCCTCATTTTTAAAAATGTATTTATACCGAGACTAAAAAGAATTGATATCAATATAGGGGTTTTGGGCACTGAACTGCAAGTCCCGTTTTCTTATTTACTTCCTACTTCGGATCCGTGTGACCCAACTAAAGCTTACAACTATACCTGCTATGTTGTGGAATTCTTGTTTATCTTTATAAAGAATTGAGCAATGAATCACGCATCAGTAAATGCCGATTCACACAAAATAAACTCCGACAACTAGGACTCGCATCGGTAATAGTTTTGCCATTAAACATATCGCCAGCGTTGTTTGCCTAACAAAGTGAAGGTTGTAAAAGGTGAAGGCTGATAGTTTGGGTGATTTCTGCGGTGGACAAAACAAACGTTCAAATATCTTCGCCTGTACTACGTACTGCGTTCCGGTGTCCGTCATCTTGCATCACATACTTTGGGAGTATCCAATATTTTATAGTAATAACAATCGAAAATTTATTTGTCTTTGTTTATTAATAATCCCTGTTTCACGCGTAGTTCTCATTTAATATACAATGAAATTTATCTAAACTTACAATTGTTATTACCATGAAATCGGACGACATTTTTTGAACATCATGTATAAAGTGCAGAAGGTTTAATAATAGTGGCAAACCTAATAGTTATACATATAAAGTTTACGACTTTCGGAATTGAATAAAAACCTGTGGAACCTCATTTACTGTACTGTCGTAACCCCGGTTGAAAGCCACTGCTCTACGACAATAAAAAATCAGATTTCCGCTCCATATTTCTGTTTGAATAGTTTTTCAATAACATATATAGAACTTAAAGGATGCTCCCGAAGTATGCGAACCAAGATGGCGGACATCGGAACGTAACATGGGTAACAGGTTAGGGTTAGGCGATAATTTTTTTCCATTTTTCCTTATTTTAGTCCTATTATCAGTTCGAAGACTAGCCAAGAGCCTCCCGTAGTATTTATACCTAAAATTATGGCCTAACCCTAACCTATACACATATTACATTCCGATGTCCGCCATCTTGGTTCGCATACTTCGGGAGCCCCCTTAAAAGGTATCAAGCTAAAAGAAATAAAAACGTATCGGAAAGGAAACGAGTAAGCACGCATTTTATTCGTGATCTCATCGGACCTATCGACCATTCTGTATGTATACTGAGACTAAAAAGAATTGAGCAGTGAATCACATATCAGTGAATGCCGATTCACACGAAAAAAACTCCACTCCGACCACTATGACTCGCTTATCGGCAATGGTTTTACCATTAAACTTACATGAGGGGCAAACATACAACGCTTTTAATAATCACTTTTTATTGCCGGTGTTGTTTGCCTAACAAAGTGAAGGTTGTAAATAGTTTTGGATAATTACTGCGGTTGACAAAATAAACGTTCAAATACGTTGCGTCACAATTTCACAAATTTTATTCGGTAACGTTTGTTCACTTTATTTTCAAGTCATTCAAAGAGTCGCTTTGTTGAAAATATTATAGTTCATCCGCCAGTACATCGCGTTCTAAGTAGAGATTTGATCAAAAAGAATTGTTTTAAAACTATTGTTTTAAATCAAGTTTTTTTGCCTGTCTTGTTCAAAATAGCTGTACTATTTGATTTTTTCGTATTAAATAGGTTGAAGAAAAACGAATGTAAAAACTTGCCAAGCGCTTCTTATTTGCAATAAATCTTTCAAAACGCCACAAATATCAATAGAGGCTCATACACACCTTCTCAAGCTGTAGTTCACTGGTTGGCGCAGTAAGACGCAACCGATAAGCCATGATGTGAACGACCCTGCTGCGATGAAACCACCTTGCGAAAATTAAAATGCGATCGAATAAATTTGTTTGTATAACTTTGAAAAACTCTATCACTTCAACCTTAAAAACAAAGTATGCTAAGCATAAATTAACCGAACAGTATTAACCGTAATAATGCGTCCATTTTATGGGGAAAATGTCAATATGTTAATTTTTCTTACTCAACACATCTCTCTGATATCTCGGCTAAACATTCCGGGTAAAATCTTATGACTTTGATGGAGATACAAACGTGGCGATGATAAAAACAAAACCCCAGTTCTAAGGTTAGACGATTGACAAAGAGAAATCGCAAAATTATAATGAGCGATCTACCATGGCCGTACACCCCGAAGATGATCTACTGGTCACTGATGTTATTAATAAACAAAATTATGGTTGCCAACACTGAGCACTCTGAGTGAAGTATGGTACTTTAGACTACAATCCGGACACAAATGAAGGTTCGTTGTGACACGAACATTTGATGTCTTAGTACAACAGGTGACGTCAAAAAAGCATGACGCCATAGCATTTTTAGGAGGCAAGGCCCCAAGTTACGCAATTTTTTGTAAATCATAGCATGTTTTACTTAGGATCATGCCCCCTCGAAAATTTGTCAACGTCTCCTTGCCGGTCGCGCCCCACCGTTCGGTGACCACTGGACTCTAAAATGATCATTCCTTATTTTCTCGTCGTCATAAAGTGTTTTATACTACTGAATAGCTTAATACTGACTCTGAGATCACACCTGCCTCCGATTCCTATTCGTCCCTGAGTTGAGGACTCCATTTTATTTCCCACTTTAGCTAAAATGTTTACGAGTAGAAATACATGACCATAACAGGTATAACATTAGTTCACATGTTGCAATATTTGCATCTCACTTGAAACTAATGAAATCTTCTTCCCACAAATGTATTAAAAATGACCGATGTCTTTTACCATTATGGTTTAAATGAAAACATAAGTGGTTTTTACAAACTTTGTTGTTTATACCGGTTCCACTACAATTGCACCTGCATACTATTCCTCCTCCTGTTTTTTTTATTGTTTTACGGATATTTGAACCCATACTAACCCTAACCCATGGGTTTCAGCACCCGCATATAGATTGAACCAGCGGATATACACATGGGTTCAAATGTACGGTCAACGTTTATATCTACAATGCTGTCATTGAAGGTTGAAGAGTTAGACTCCACCTTACCTGGGTGCGCAATGCTGAGTCTGGAAAATTTACGCACTTCCAAAAATAATACTTTATTTTATAGTGGCTGATTATTGAAGTACAATAAGAAAGTTACCTTAAGATTGTACTACCTTGTAAAAACTGCTTTTCGTATCCATTAAACCCAGAACATACTATAAAAACCCCTTCATATGCGTACCGATTTACAAGTTATTTGGCGTTCGTAACCCGGAACATCTATGAATTCAACTTCATTTGCTTAATTTATTAACCGTTTGCCTGAAGTTTATATCTATCCAAACCCAGAATAGACCACGAACTCCACTTTATATGCTTATTTTAACCGCATTTATCTTAGGCATTATATTTATCTTTACAAGCACTATTCGCTCCAAGTCAGAATAAATTTATGCGTTCGCCGAATCCTGCATTATACCCGGTCCTGTCAGCGCAAACCTCACAATCGAAGTTTTTAATAAAGTCCCATAATGTTTACCCAAACCTTATCACCTAACACTACCAAGAATATCATTGAAATATCATGAATTTCGGAGTAATTCATAAGTAGATGCTTCAGCAAATCTTTAGCGCAATGGGGCGTAAAGGCCATGCATGATTGCACATGGCCCTAGATAGTACAGCCTTTATTCATTCGAAGTTAAATTACGTTTAAATGTTATCAGTCATACTTATCTTTTTAGTTATGAGAATACACATGTCGTACCTTGTACCCGTTTTTGTAATTATGATCTCACAATGGCTTAGTAAACACGAAGATGACAGAACAAACAACTAAAGTTTTATTGTCATCATTCAAGCTTCGACTCGTCGTTAGAATCTTTTATTTTGCAAACTTTAAAATTTATTGGATTAACATTAATATTGCTCTGTGTCTTTGTGGATCCTCACTGATTGCAAGAACGAAAACAAATAGATCGGGTAGTTATTATAACATCGTATAGCAGGGCTACTCAACTGGCGTCCGAATCCGGACCTTTCAAGTATTCGATTCGCATTTTGGGGTATTGTCTTCATTCAACTTTGGATATGTAAAAGGGTGTGGAATATTTGCGTTTACTCAGTTTTCTAGAACTCGCGTTTCCTATACTTTTCAACCGAAAAGATAGAGTCACTAAAATATAGTTAGGCGTAGTATGAAATACATTTTCTGGCCAGACCGGACCCCAGGAATTTTCAAGTTTTGTACACGGACCTTTAGAAATAATAGTTGAGTATAGTACCGTTCTATCCTCTCTGTGATCCGAATCCGAAATAACCCATAAATACAGTCGAATGCGAGAATACTGCGAATGACAATCAAAACTTT